CGTGTCCATAGCTGCGGCCAAAGCGATTGGACCATCGCTCTGCAACGTGAATCAGTATGCGTTTCGAGCACTTGCGGCGTGGGACTTACGGTGTAGAAACTGTCCAGTACCGCTCTAGTCTCGCTATACGTGATCTCTAGACCTGAAGTGTCGCCAGTTGCTGAGAGGACTTCGAAAGTGGGATGGCCTTCGACATCAGCCCCATAGTCAAGGATAACCACGCCCGGGGCTGTAGTTGTTCCTTTGAGGATGGTAGTATCATTTGAACCGAATATAGCCGGCAGGCTGTCGTTTGCTCGTCGCACAGGGTGTAGTGACTGGGATCTTGGTGTTGTTGCTGCTTCTGCAAATGTCAGACAAGCCAGCAGGGCCAGTTGAGAGAAACCCATGATGTGGTGGAAGTCCTTGATCAGGACGGAACGAGTGTAGGAAGGAAATAAATGAAGAGAAGGTAGACTGATGCGACGAAAAGTAGAGCGGTCATAACATACCTATGTATATATGAGAGATCGTCAGTCCCTTTCATCTTTTGCGAAATACGACTACCCACTCAAAGCTTGATGATGCAATCTCCGATATTATTCTGGTAAAAGCTCCAGTTCGCCGTTCTCATCGCCGTGCTGCGCCGCCCGCGACGTCTGTAGCAATCACCCATAACCATCGGATCTTTCCGTCCCGCTCGTATGTCGTACCAAGTGGGTCAAACCACCGTTGCCGAATATGCCCATCCCCAATGTACACAACCAAGGTTGCCCTCGCAAGAACACCCTTTAGGCTCGAGCGTGGAACAAAAAGAAGAGAACAGAGAACAAGATCTACTCGGCATGACAGCCAAGTGGGGCGCGTTCAGGTACAGTCCGCCTAACAAGCCGACGTAGGCACGGCACTCCGCGAATCGCATCTCGGCAGCCGTTGGCCGCCCCGCAACGAGCGCCCGAGCCTAGTCCGCTGCATGTACGAAATACGCCTGCACGCTCCCCATACAATCTTGGAAGGAACTGTCTACAACGTGCATCCTTATGCAACAAAGTCAGGCGCTAGTATGAACCTAGGTGTCAGGCAGTGCGCAGACGTTCACGATTGATGTGACAATGGCAAAGGTCACCGGGCGCATTCGGCGATCAGTCGTGATGCGTATCTCGTAACGAGCCTCCAGTCTGCATAAGTACCTGGGCAGGCACAGCGTGTGTGCACTCCGCGCGTTAAAGACCATTCGATGCGCATCTCGGCAGCTTCGAAGCGATTCTTCATCATGCTATTGCCTCATCAACGGCATGACCGCCGCAACTCCCTCACGCCCATGAGTTCCCCGTCTAAGCGCCGCCGCAAACCTCACATGCGACACATCCTTAGTCCCCGCTTGATACTTCACAGCCCTCCGCTGCCGTCACCCCGCCATCCGCCGCGAAGCCATCGCCCTACTCTCTCGCAGACTGACCCCCGAGGGGCTCTGGGACCGACAACAGTATCGTGTCCAGACTGAGCGCATTGTGCAGGTCGAAGAGATGGGGTGGATGGGAAAGAGTGGCCGGTGGAGCGGATGAGGATTTGGACCGGGACTGTGATGCCTGATGCACGTGAGGAGAGGGTCTCTTCCGTGGTCGTGCCTGGCTTTCAAGTCTTATATCGCCTAACCGTCGATTGGTCACCCAAAGCCCCCACTACCAACCTTGGATGCTACAAGCCCATTACTAGCGCATCTCTCGACTCATCAAGATATTCCGCTCGAACAACTGTCCACGCCACACACAACACACAAAACTCCAAGATGACTTTCTTCGCGCCCCAACTCCAAATCGTCTCCGACCTCCACCTTGAAACCCCCATGAACAGCCCACAGTACTTAAACATCAACCTCCAAGTCACCGGCAGCGCACTCTTCCTATTAGGAGACATAGGCCTAGTCATCCACGAAAACCTCTTTGTCTTCTTGTGCGATCTCCTTGACAAGAACCGCGGGTGTCGTATCTTCTACGTCCTCGGCAACCACGAAGCGTACCACACGACTCTTGAGCATGCCGTCGAACGAATGCGGGAATTTGAGGATTTGGCGAGGCGGGAATACGGCGGTCGTTTTCGTCTGCTGTGCCGCGATCGGTATGATCTCAATGAGAAAGTGACGATACTGGGCTGCACACTCTGGAGCAACATCCAACCCGAGCAGGCCGCTGAGGTGGAATCCAGAATGACTGATTACAATGAAGAGCGCGGTATACAGGGTTGGTCTCCGGAAAGAAGTTGCGAGGAGCATGCGCGGGATTTGGAGTGGCTTAACGCGCAAGTCCAACATATTCAAGCCAATGAACCGCACCGCAGGGTGATCATCGCGACACACCACTGTCCGACTGTTGATGCCCGCGCAACGGATCCGCGGCACGCGGCTAGTTCGATGAATTCGGGGTTCGTGTCTGATTTGTCAAAAGAGGTGTGTTGGACGTCGCCGGTGGTGAAGGTGTGGGCGTTTGGACATACGCATTACAGTTGTGCGTGGAGGGATGAGGGGACGGGGGTGTTGGTTGTGTCGAATCAGAAGGGGTATGGCGGGAGGGGGAGGAGGGTTAAGAGTGTGGTTGTGGAGGAGAGGGGGGACGAGTGGCAGATGTTGAAGAAGAAGGAAGAGGAGCCAACAGAGGCGGAGGTAGAGCCATCCACGACGACGATGGTGGAGGAGAAGAGCGATACAAAAGGCCTACCAGATGGGCATGGTAGACCGAAAGTAGGTCTGCTTGGTCAAGCGACTAAGCGAGTAAAAGCTCTTTTCCACCACCCGCCTTCGACGTAACATGGCGGAGAATGTAGGGAGCGGGTCCAGATGGAGAAGAAGTCTGGCTTAGGTAGATGTGATGAGGCTTCAGGATAGCTCAGCTTGATCCATGACCTTAATCACGTCCTCTTCCTTGAAACGATGCATAAGCTTTAGCGACGACGTAGTCGTCTCCTTAGCTTCGGCTTTGTCGATGTGGATCTGGTTGAACATTCAGGTACTCTTTACATTACACGTATATATAGACTCGTGGTCCGGGTCGGTCGGCTTACCACCGGAGTATCAAACTCGTACGCGCCCTTCCACTTTTCTTGCCCTGCATCCATGACATTGATCTCGTCGTAATCAAAAGGCCTCTTCGCCTTGACGTTCTGCACGACAGCTTTAGCCGTGTCGCATAGGCCGCATGGGGTTCGGGTGAAGAAGGTGACGCGGCAAGCGAGCAGGCGGGATGTGGCGCGGAACATGGCGGCGGCGTGTTGACAACCCACACACTCTCTCAATACCGATGACTACGAGCGTGCAGTACAGGCGGGGAAACTCGTGTTGACGCGACAGCAATTCGAAGATGGAAAGCTTCAACTGCCAGGATATGGATTAAGCTTCGCGCTTGGACCCTATGATGACGGCTGCCCAGGTGATTTCCAGAATGTTCGGAACAAAATCTGGGGCATCGCAACACGACAAGCAGCGCGCATCCGACCTTTCTCTCCACTCGTTAAGCGCGTTATTCACAGAAACCGACAGTTATGGCGAAGAAGTGTGTTCACAAGGGCTGCGGCAAGACGTACGAGGACGAGAACGAAGAGTGTGTTTACCATCCCGGCCCACCCAAATTCCATGAGGGGCAGAAAGGTAGGTCAGCACCACCAACGCGTATATCAACAAGACCAGCAAAGATGCTAATTGGATTCCTCAGGCTGGGAATGCTGCAAACCACGCGTCTTGACCTTTGACGAGTTCCTCGCAATCGAGCCGTGCACAAAGGGCAAGCACTCGGACGTCGACGACACGCCCAAGCCCGAGCCCGTCAAAGCCCCCGACGTACCCAATGACACCCAAGTCAACCTCGGATCGCTCGAGGAATCCCTCCCTGCGCCCGCTCCCCGATTACCCACCGCACAAGCCACGCCCAAGCCAAGCGCTTCGCCGGCGCCGCCACCCGAATCAGAGGACGACGACCCGAGTCTAGAGATCAAGGAGGGCATGACATGTCGGAGGAAAGGATGCGGCGCGACACACAAGGGAGGCGATAGGGAAGGCGAGAGCTGCATACACCACCCCGGTGCGCCCATCTTCCACGAGGGCAGCAAGGGGTGGAGTTGCTGTAAGAGACGGGTGATGGAGTTCGATCAGTTCATGAAGATTGAGGGGTGCAAGACAAAAGACCGACATTTGTTCATCGGCAGCGGCAAGAAGAAGGAGGGCGAGGAGAAACTAGAGACGGTTCGGTACGTGCCCCCTACCCTCTCAACCCAGAGTACTCAAGCCCAACTAATACTAACCCTATACCAGACACGACTACTACCAAACCGCCACCTCGGTCGTCGCATCTCTCTACCTCAAGAAAATCGACAAAGCAACCGCCGTCGTCGACTTCCAACCCACACACGTCAAGCTCGATCTCCCCACCTCAGACAGCAAGCGCTACCAAACCGAATTCCCCCTCTTCTCGACTATCAAGCCGGAAGAGAGCAAGTTCAGGATACTAGGCACCAAGCTCGAGATGACGCTGGTCAAGGCGGATGGGGCTAGCTGGCCGGTCCTCAGGAGCGACGATAAACCTACTGGGGAGATGATTCAGGTGGGTAGGGCGGGGAGGGCGTAGGGGTCCAAGTGATCTGGATGGAGTAGAGTAGAGTCATGCATCAACGAAGTTACGTTAAATCAGTCATACTGCTGTTTTACTATGAACTGATGGGTTCTGTGAGTATGTGGATAGTGTAGGCATGGTGTACATACATGTGAGAGAGGGGTGGCTTATTAATCATGACGCACCTCGCGCTCTAGCTATCTCCGCATGTTATGCAATCAGCCTTGCAACATTTCCCATTTCAAATCTCGAGGAGGTTTACTAAACAGCAAACCAAGGTACCGAGGACTGTAGCAAGATATAAGACCATTGTTACGTTTGTTCATTACATAGCTCACCCATCCTCCTCGACTACTGATCCCCTTCACACCCACCCACCCAACATCCCCATACCAACTCAACCGTCTTACCCGGAACGCAGCAATGGCCTCCAAATCCAAACTCATCGCTATCGTTGCTGGTGTCGGCCCCGGAACCGGCGCCTCCGTCGCCCGCAAATTCAGCCAAACCTACCCCGTCGTGCTCCTCGCCCGCACCCCCGAGTCCTTCTCTTCTCTCGCCGAGGAAATAAACGCGGCCGGCGGCCGCGCCCTCGGTATCGCCACAGATGTATCTTCTTCTTCCAGCCTGTCTTCAGCCGCCAGCGCGATCAAAAAAGAGTTCGGCGACGATGTCGCAGCCGCAGCAGCGATTTTCAATGCTTCTGGTGCGTTTATGCGGAAGCCGTTTTTGGAGATTCCGGTTGAGACTTTTGAGAAGAGTTTGGGGGTTAGTGGTATGGGTGGCGTGTTGTTTTCGCAGACTTTCTTGCCGTTGTTGCTTAAGGGCGTGGAGAGGGGGAGTGAACATCCGCCTAGTCTGATTTTTACGGGGGCGACGGCGAGTGTGAAGAGTAATGCGCAGATGGCGAGTTTCTCGACGGGGAAGTGGGCGTTGAGGGCTTTGAGTCAGAGTTTGGCGAGGGAGTTTGGACCGCAGGGTGTGAGTATAGCTTTTCTCGTCGGCTCGTTTGAGGATGTGTCGTTTGCTGATATACTGTGTCTGTGTGTAGGTTCATGTTGCGCATGCGATTATTGATGGGGTGATTGATATTCCGAGGACGAAGGAGTGGTTGAAGGATATGCCTAAGGAGGCGAAGTTGAGTGCTGATGCGGTGAGTAATAGTTCGACGGTGAGGAGATGCTTGAAGCTGATGTGTGGACAGATTGCGAATGATTATTGGTGGTTGCACACCCAGCCAAAGACGAACTTTACGTGGGAGATTGATCTTAGGCCTGCGGTTGAGAAGTGGTAGGTGCGGGCTGTCACGCTGAGAGGATTGTGGGATGTGCTCTCGGTGCATGAGAGTATCATGTGTATCCATAGCAAACACTCTTCGTTCCCCGATGGTATAAAATCCTGCGTCACCGCGTCTTTATCTCTGATATCGCAGTAAATTCCCGCGTCACCGTGGATACCTTCACTCAGTTTTCACGCTCTTTCGAGGTGAAAACGAGTACGCTAGGAGGTCCTCGGTGTACATAATCTCGTCGATCTGACTTTCTTGTCTCTTCTTACTACTCGCAACAACATTTCGGAAACCAAAACGCTCAGATCAGTATATACATTGACCACTACATCACGAACACATCAAGGTATGCTTACCTGCGAACGCGTCTTGTGTGCGGCAAGCGATACTAACACCTAGTAGATCAACAATATGTCTGGCCTCGGAAGCTCCCGCTGGTCTTCTAAGCCGACATCAAAGCCATCTGAAAATGACATGGAGACTCCGGAGGAGCCGTAAGTTTCTTTCACTTTGTCTCAGCGGGGATGGTATTCCAACAGTATTACAGCAAGCACGTCGCCGTCCCATCTTTTGGATTCTCCATGCCCAGTTTCACCAAGAAGTCTGCTCCGGCTGCCCGGTCTGCTGTCGCCTCTCTATCATCTGAGGTCAAGTCGGCGGAGACGAAGCAGCCCATGGTCAAGGTCGATGAGACTCCCAACCAGGATCTCATCAAAGTTGAGACTGGAAAACCGCAGTCCAAGGTCACCGCCGCTATCCAGGCGACTCGAGACCAGATGGCCAAGTTCGTGGGCCTACGTCGTCAAGATCGCCCTTCCACGGCAAATGCGACGATTGGACGTGGTCCAAGCGCGTCCTACGGAGGATACATCAGGAGGGGATAGATAGGCTGTAGTTGCCTCGCATGACGTTCAGGGATCAGGAACATACCATTTGGAGGAGACGAAGCATTGTCAGCTACTTTTGGCAGTTGAGATGACCAATCAAAGTACATTAAATACCTCCCGGCTACCTCCCGCCATAGGCGATAAAATGATCAAAACTTGATTTAGACTCCATGTACCACAGTTTCGACAGACGCAACGGGTGCGACATAATATGCCCGAGGGCAGATAAGATGCAAGGTCTACACCGATCGTGCAGCAGCCAGATTGGGTCACTTGCAGAAAATCTCACTCATCAATGTCAGGCTGAACTTGGTCGCATGCGCATGCGCGACATAGTTCGCTAACCGTGGCGAGGGGAGAAATGTCCCATTTGGCCTGACGTACGAGTGCGGCGTATGCATGGGTAGTCGAGAACCCCTGGCACCTTTCATCTACAACGTCGTTGAGACGCAGAGTCGTTGGAGCGCATCGAGGTGATTTGCCGGGCAGAGGCAAATGCTAAGGCCGAGCCATCGAGATTGATGCCGCTTTCAGACCCGCGGAAGTAAGACTACGAGGCTACGTCTACCGGCCAACACGGCCTGGCGATATCATAGGTAGCGATATGCGTAGTTAGCTGGATGGGGCAAAAGATAGACGGGAGGCTCGCATCATGTGAAGGTGTTGCACCGTTCGGAGCCTTGCATACAACCATGCGGGACATGCGCTGGCGACGATGGGCATGGTTCTGACGGACTAGAGTAAGGTGACGGTGAAGCGCCTGGCTGACAGCCAAACGCAATCGACTGGGCGTATTTGTACGTGCGCCATAAGGCTCCGCGACACCTTACTACTGCATGCAGGCCCGCCCACGTGTCAGCGCCCGTTCTGCGTGCGACAGCTCATGTGCTGGGGCAAGCAGAGAGGGAGGCGTTTGAGAGACTCGGACCAGGCGGGATTAGCGATAGATGGAGATGCGGTGCTAACCGGGCCGCTGGTGAAGTGGGAGGTTGCTGCTGCGACTGCGCGGCGGCCAACAGCTGGGCCGCTGGGGTGTCTGGCCGTGGGCTGTCAGGGTAAGCATAAGCTCATGACGGCAGACCGGCAGAGAAATCGCGGTGACTGGTAAGTTTGTCGGATGAAGCGATCGCTTAAATACCACGGTATGCTATGGCAGCACTCGCTGCAAGGACCAACGCCAAGTTGCTCTCGTCCCGTCGGAAGGGAAGGTCCAACGTTAATACCCGTGTGCCCGCAGCATCTAAGCCAGACGCCAGCCAGCACCCAACGCTGGAACCACACGATCCGGCGACCGCAGATTGTGCTGCCTGCTGCCCTGGAATACGCGACGATTGCGCAAGACCTCCGACCTGCATTGCATCTCCTCGTCGTCGTCTGGTAATCTTCGGCCCCAGCCCGTGACTGGCGTTTCCGGCAACCATCCCATCTCTCCGGCCCGCACATCGCAGCAACATCACCCGAAGACTCGATCAACAAGACGCGCGCAGCCTCGCAGCACCGCCATTCTTCATCCACCCCCGTTCTCAGAACTCCCTGCACTCATCGCCAATATTCGCGCACCGCCTCAGCTGGGCGCCGTCGCGCATCTTCCCATGACCGGAGAGAATGCACCGCGGCTAACTGCACTGCCTGCTTACCCACCACAACAACGACATCAACGGCCGCCATCTCCTCCCGGACAGCATCAGCAACTGCAGTCTCCTCTAACCCAGCTGTCTCCATCCACCGTCAAGGCGTCTCCGCAGCAGACCCCCGGGCCCCTTGATGCCAGCGGCGGCAGTGCTGAGCCCTCAGCAAAACGAGGCATGCGCTCGCAGATTGCATGCACCAGATGTCGCCGAAGCAAGACCAAGTGCGAAAACACCGGTCAGGGCACGACGTGCAAGGCTTGCGCGAATACCAACCGCGACTGTACCTGGGACCACGCGGCTGTCGCAAGCAGCACCGGATCTGTGCGCCGCGACAGCACGGCCGATTTTGATGTAAGTCATCCTTTTTTGTCTCCCAATACTCCATTAGTCGTGTTGCATACCAACGTTCGTGGCTGAGTTCACGTCCTGGGCTATATCACGTGCTAGTGCTGACACCCCCAGGCCCCGCCCAAGAAGCGACGCAAGTTGCTAGCACCAACATCGACTACAGCGCAACGCTCGGTAGAAGGCCTAGGCACGCCTGAAGATGCTCTTCAATCACCATTGCTTACTTCCCAGGTCTGGGAAGAGTTGTTTGACATCTATGAGAAGCATTTCTCTACCGACTTCCCCTTCTTGCATAAGCGAACTTTCCTCAGCTCTGTGCGGCCGCCGCCTTCATCTGGCAGCTCATCTGAAGTTAAGACTCCGACTCAAGCTCCAACGCCGCGCGTGTATGCGCCTTTGCTCTTAGCCTTCCTTACCCAGACTGCTCGTTTCCATGACAAGCTCGTAGCGCAAATGGGTAATGACCCGATCAGGACTGCCGAATTCTACGCATCAGCGACTCGCACGCAGATGGGAACGGAAGTCGTTGGTTCCCCGAATGTGGAAAAGATCCAAACACTCCTCATGTTGGGGTATTATGAATGGACCAATTTGCAAGGTACTGACGGCTGGATGAAGATCGGCGTTGCTATCAGAGCTGCCATATGCCTTGGATACCCGCACCTGGATGTCGATGAAAGCGGACTACCTGCACCACTGAAAGACTGTGAAAAGGGCCTTTCGGAAAAGGACCAATTCATACTTCGCGAGACTCAGCGGCGTACCTTTTGGAGCTGCGTCCTCATGGATTGCTATCTGAGTTGGGGGGAGGATCGGCCGAGGATGCTTACGCCCGATCAACTTCAAAGAACTCAACTTGTCTGTAGCGATGGCGCATTCAATTTTGGAAAAAGAGCAAGAACAAGACTTCTGGGTGAAGACGATGCGATGTATACTGCGCGGAGGAAACGATGGAACAAACATGCTGAGGAACGCCGTAATGACCACGACGGAGCAGATCGAGCCAGTGCCCTGGACGGGGGAAGGTGGGAAGTTGCTGAGGGGGAGGCAGAACTGACATGGTACATCAAAGTTGTTGTGATCTTCGGAGAAGTCTCACAATGGTCGTGTAAACGCGGCAGAAGGTCCGTTTGCCTCGTTCATTCCGCCGCGATATCTGACTGACAACGTGTAGACAAGAAGGCAAGAATCCACCGTGGTGCGCAACGACTGGCTTCAAGAAATTGGAGGACAAACTCAAGCAGTTGAAGCGCGACCTACCTGATCACCTCCAGCTGACCTCGGACAACAACGACGACCGTAGCTACAACTCGCCCGGCAAATACGTTGCGATACATGCAATGTATACATTGTGTTTTGTGTGGTTGTACAGAGAGTACATGCCCACATCACCATGGACGTTGACGTATCCCCGCGGCCCGTTGGATGAGCCACTGATTGATGAGAAACCTCCTGACCCTGACTACTGGATCAAGCAAGCCAAAGACTGTTGGAAAGCCTGCCTCGACTTCACAACACTACTTCATACCATCGAGAACTCACAAGTTCATAGCAATCTAGTACAAACGCCAACGGTAGCTTTCTCTTGTTTTGCCGTTGGAATAGGCAGTAAGTATCTAACAGTGATTTGGTCGGGTATTGCTAACCACCCCAGCCATCTACTGCCACTACTTTCCTCACATGGACCCGGACGACGCCCTCTCATCTCGTAAAGACCCTAGAGCCCATGACATCGCAAACGGCTTCCTACTGCGCATTTTGAGTCGCTTCAAGATGGCCCGCTCGTGGCTCAGTCAACTAGCCGAATGGCAACGATACTACCGTCGTGAGAGAAAGAAGTACCGAGAGCTAAGCGGCCAGATCGATGATTCTCCAAAGAGCAACTCGAGTGACGGTGTCGCTAGCGGTGGGCTGAAAGACTACGCGCAGCTCTTCGAGAGAACGCACAAGCAGTTCGGTGACATTGCTAACGCTAACGACAACGACGGACAATGGCCCGACAGGGATAAGGACCTCGCGGATACGAGACTGCCGCATGACGAAGACTCTGCAGAGCGCACTTTGCCTACCAGCGCCGCTTCGGTCAAGCATGAGTTGCAAGGTGCACCAGAAGAAAAGTCCAGTAACCAGTCCGGCTTCACTGCCGTCAACCACAATGGTCAACAAACACCTCCAGCCCCTCCTCCAGTCACCCAACCATCAACCTACGCGCACGGGGGCCGTACGCCTTCTTATGATCAAAACTCTCACATGCGCGCCACAGTACAGACCCCCTACCAACCATATCCATATCCCAATGCTCCTCAGCAGCAGCTGAGAAGTCCCTTCCAGCAATCTGACCCCCACCAATCTCCTGTGCCAGCCACCGCAAATGTCCCGATACACTACACAACCTGGCCGCAACCACGACCCCAGGAGATACAGGAACAGAAGGTCAACATGGAGATTTGCGGCGCTGCGACTTTTCCCAATGGCTGGGCGGGCGACGTTATGATTGGTGATAGTGCTCAGGATTTCAATAACTGGGGTCAATATGGCTTTCCGACTATTCCGGATAACTCGGGGTATTATCAGTCTGGGTATTCGTATCCACCGCAGTAGGTCTGTGGGGTTGGGATTGGGGGTGTGTTTTGCTGTTCACTGCGTTTGGTTCGAAGCTGCGTTTGGTGCGAAGCTGCGTTTGGTGCGAAGCTGCGTTTGGCGCGTGAGCAATGTCGCGACGAACATCCTTCGTCATCCATCTTTTCTAGCATATCTATTTGGCTTCTTGTCATCCACATTCTTTCACTCCTTCCTTGGGCGCATGTTGCGATGGTTGTTTTCCCTGGCTGCATCGGTTGTGCCATTTAGATTCCTAAGGGCGACAGGATGTTATGTAGCGGAGTTTGTTTCTTCATAGGCGGGTACTTGTTATGCGATGGTTTTGTGTTGGCATGCGACGGGAGAGTCGTGGGCGGATCGATCGGTCTTTATGCACATGTAGATGCACGTATCATATAGCATGTTTGTGGATCTTGTGGCAATGGATTGGTGGTATCTTTGGCCTACATATGCTTTTATGTGCGCGCGCTGCATTCGAGCCATTGCTTTTCGCGATGATCAAGGCTTTGTTACGTCAGTACCAAATCGATGTACCTCGGTAAATCTCCCCCACATTCCATCACCACGAGGTTCCGACCCATCATCATCAACCCATGCCGTCGCATCGCACCCTAGTCATTCCATCCGTAATTATCCCTAAGAAACGACCTCCGAGCCAATTCGCCGATGCCCGTCGTCATCACACCGCGGATGCCTTTCCCAATTCAGGGCGGAAAGGCCTCAACCCAAGCTTCCGCAAGCATCCACAACTATACGACCAAGCATTAACCCTCACGCTAACCCCACTGATCGCCGCCCTTCTGCACCGCCTGGGCAACGGCCATGGCGCACATCGGACATGTTTCCCCGCCTGCCTCTACCGAGATGCGGGCATCGACTCCACTAACAAGCTTCCAAGCTGCGATATTGGTGGAATCGGTGCTTGCGTCTTCTGGCATGGTCAAGGATGCGGCGAAGCGACTAGACGTGCTAGTATCGCTACGGCTACTCATCCGGTTCAACACGCGGTCTTAGCACGCTCAACATGGGGGTAAACTGGGGAAAGTCGCTGGGGAAAAGAGGTATGTGCGTTCGGATCGTAATGGCACGAGCGGCGTGGAAACGATGCTGTCATTACCTGACAGGAACGAGGAAAGATCCCGGTTCGGCTACATGCATACCGTCTGAAGCTCCGGAAGCTTTATATTTCGTCCCATCCCCGCGGAATGTGACCGGGCCACAAGCAGATTGACCTTTGGTTTCGTATTTTGGTCAATATGAAGAGCTTTTCAACGCTTGCAGGCGCGGTTGCGCTAGGATGTTTTGCGGTTGAGACTGCGGCGAGGGCTGTGGGGTATTCGCCTCAGCAGTGGATTAAGCCGTATAAGAGAGAGGCTTTGCAAGATATCGTAAGTTGCGGAGTTGAATCAACATTTTGGGGTTATGGTGTCTAACCAGATTCACAGGTCACATGGGATGAAGACTCGCTCTTCGTACATGGCGAACGCATCTTCTTGTACTCTGGCGAGGTCCACCCGTACAGATTACCGGTGCCTGATCTCTACTCCGATGTCTTTCAGAAGATCAAGGCTCTTGGGTACAATGGTGTTTCCTTCTACGTGGACTGGGCGTTGCTTGAAGGCAAGCCCGGTGTTTACCGCGAAGAGGGTGTCTTTGATCTGAGGCCCTTCTTCGATGCTGCGCAGGAAGCTGGTATCTATCTTATTGCTAGGCCAGGTCCTTACATCAACGCTGAGGTGTCTGGTGGAGGCTTCCCCGGATGGATTCAGAGGGTCAATGGCACGCTGAGAACGCGTGCGCCTGACTTTTTGGAGGCGACCGACAAGTACGTATCTTCATCAGATGTAGGCAACATCCTACTAATAGCAGAATAGCTACATGAAGAATGTGTTGGCGACAATTGCGCCAGCGCAAATCACCAACGGCGGACCGATCATCCTCGTTCAGCCCGAGAATGAGTACACACAGGCCACTTCGGCTATCAAGCCTTTCCCGGATCCAGTCTACATGCAATACGTCGAAGATCAGATTCGCGACGCTGGTATTATCGTGCCTTTGATCAGCAACGATGCCTCCGCTAAGGGCAACAACGCACCCGGTCAACCTGCAGCTGTTGACATTTACGGGCATGACGGCTACCCTCTCGGATTCGACTGCGCCAACCCTACCACATGGCCAGATGGCAATCTTCCAACAAACTGGCATCAGCTCCACGAGCAGCAGAGCCCTACCACGCCTTACTCCATCGTCGAGTTTCAATCTGGCAGCTTCGACCCATGGGGCGGTCCAGGCTTTGACAAGTGCGGCATTCTAGTTGGCGCAGAGTTCAACCGTGTCTTCTACAAGCAACTTTACAGCTTTGGCGTCACGATTCTGAACTTGTACATGACTTACGGTGGAACGAACTGGGGCAACCTTGGTCACCCAGGTGGCTACACCAGCTACGACTATGCTGCACCGATCAAGGAGGACCGTCAAGTCGACCGCGCGAAGTACTCCGAGCTGAAACTTCAAGCAAACTTCTTCAAGGTCAGCCCTGCGTACCTCACAGCTGCGCGAGGCAATGCTTCGACTTCCAAGTGGACTACCAGCAGTGACCTGAGCGTTACTCCCGCCACCAACGAGAAGACGACATTCTACTTCGTCAGGCATTCCAAGTACAACTCGCTGGATTCCACAACCTACAAGCTCAACGTTGCAACGTCGACATTGGGCAACATTACTGTACCTCAAATGAACGGCACTTCGCTGACACTGAACGGCCGCGATTCCAAGATCCACGTCAGCGACTACGACATTGGCGGCACCACCCTTGTCTACTCTACTGCCGAAGTCTTCACTTGGCACAAGTATGATGACAAGACTGTTTTGGTCGTGTACGGTGGACCTGGAGAGACCCACGAATTGGCCCTTGCTGCTACTGGACTGGAAGTCGTCGAGGGCGATGTCAAGAGCATGACTACTAGTGGAGTCACCGTCTTGAACTTCAAGGCTGATGGAGGTAGAAAGGTCGCAAAGGTTGGAGCTGACAGCCCCATCTACGTCTACATGGTCGACCGCGTCGAAGCCTTCAACTACTGGGCCGTCGATCAGGCACCCCACGACTCGTCCAACCCTGTCATCCTCAAGGCAGGCTACCTGATGCGCACTGCCAACGTCACTGGCAACACTCTTGCACTCACTGGCGATCTCAATGCTACGACCAGTGTTGAGGTTCTTGGTGGCGCGTCATCTGATGTGTCCAAGATGACTTTCAACGGCCAGAGTATCGACTTCACCACCTCCGAACAAGGAACTTTGTGCGCCGACATTGAATTCGCCAAGCCAGATGTCAGCCTACCCAAGCTCAGCGAACTCGAGTGGAAGTACGTCGACTCGCTTCCTGAGATCCAACCCGGATACGATGACAGCGAGTGGACTGCGGCCGATCTGAAGAAGACGTACAACTCACTCCGTCCACTTGATACCCCCGTATCGCTCTACAGCTCCGACTACGGCTACCACACCGGCACACTCCTCTTCCGCGGTACATTCACTGCATCCGGAAACGAGACAATCTTCAACCTTACCACCCAAGGTGGCTCAGCATTCGGCTCATCCGCCTGGATTGGCGACCACTTCCTCGGCTCATGGCGCGGATACGATGCAGCTCTGAACGGAAGCGCCACATTCACCATGCCAAACTTGACCAAGGGAAAGAAGTACACCATCACGGTCGTAGTCGACAACCAAGGTCTCGACGAAAACTGGACCATCGGCACCGAGACAATGAAGAACCCGCGCGGTATCCTAGACTACAAGCTATCCGGCCACGACGCCTCCGACATCAGCTGGAAGCTCACCGGCAACCTGGGTGGGGAAGATTACCGCGACATCTCGCGCGGTCCCCTCAACGAAGGCGGTTTGTACGTCGAGCGCCAGGGTCTACACCTTCCCGGTGCTCTCTCCGCCACCGACGCCAAATGGACTGCTTCCGCCGGCCCCGTCGCCGACGGCATCTCCGCTCCTGGAATCGGTTTCTTCGCCACGGAATTCGATCTCAACATGCCAGCTGGCTACGATATTCCGCTCAGCTTCACTTTCACCAACGGCACTTCTTCTGGTAACAGCAGCAGTGGCGGTTCGAGTGTTCCTGCATACCGCGTCCAGCTTTACGTTAATGGCTGGCAGTATGGTAAATATGTTAGTAATGTGGGGCCGCAGGTCAAGTTCCCTGTCACGGAGGGTATTCTCAACTACAACGGAACGAATTACCTGGGTGTCTCGCTTTGGGGGCTTGATGGTGGGGCGACGAAGGTTGAGGGCTTGGAGCTGGAGGTTGATGCGGAGATTTGGAGTGGGATGAAGAAGGTGGGGACTGTCATGGGTATGGAGTATGAGAAGAGGGAGGGTGCATATTGATGTTAGTAAAAGATATCCCTATCAACTAATCTTACATGTGCAATTTTAATTTGCGGGATCGTTGCTCTGCTCTTTCGCGTCCTATCATCTCCCAGCTGTTGTGCTACTTTCACTTTCGCTCAACCTCCTAGCGCGGTCTTGGCGGGGGTACAAGCAAACGCTTCCCCGCACACACCAACAACTTGTATCTACGCTCGACTGACCCTCCACAGACTGTTAAGTTGTCGACCCTCGCCTAAGAAAGGTGCTGTAATCGCGCGAAATCACGATGTCAACACAGTAAGCCCTGCACAGGAGCTTCGCTTGATCGGCGTTTACTAACGCTGGCAGCGTCGCCAGCCCCCGCGGCAGAACGTCAACAAGCTTTCTCGACTTACCTGGAGGTATTAAATACACACTGTATTCTGCATCACTTTTACAAGCTAATTGAAACCTTACAGAATTGCGCAATACCGTCTATCAGCACTTCATCGACTATCTTGAATGCGAGTCCAAACCACGACCTGCCTGCACTTGTTGCAAGTTCAAACCAAGCCGCACTATATTCAAATGGACTATACCCGAATGGTCTGACGGCAAGGCTTCCGATCTGGCCTCGGTGCACCAACAGATACACGCGGAGTTTATGACCTTATATCTACACCAAGCGTACAAGGGCGGACGTCGGCTTTTATTCAATCACGTCCACTACTTCCTCGACTTGTTCTTTGGTCGATATCCCAACTCGGCGCTGAGGGACGTTACATACAAGTTTGAGGTCAGGCTTGGTACTGCTCAAAACGGCCCAGAAGGCCTCGAGGCTGACTGGTCGCTCGATTTGCTGGAAGTTGTCTCGGTCATGCGTCATTACCCGTTAATCGGCATTGCATGGAATCTGGTGGACAATTTCAAGGAAGCGGCATTTGACGATTCGGGGGTGATGTACGCCGTTTCAGCCCTGAAGGACATGGATGTCCAGCTGTTCGAGAAGTTGGATTCCGCCAAGCTCGCCCTGTACAACTCCTTCGAACCCGACCAGTTCGGAAGGTTCGGAGTAGAAGCTCACCTGTCTCCTACTTTGAAGAAAAACACGACTAAGCAAGATGCTAGAGCCCTTCAGGCGTTGTTATACCCGACCAGATGCAGCGGTATTGAAGTGGATATCGGATGGGAGGACAACAATTGGGGTAGGAGGTCATTTCGGTGGTCGTACCCTGAGGAGGATTGTTTCAGTAATGAGGAAGACGATGCGGATAGTGGCGGACAAGTCTCAGACAACGGCAAAGATGATCCCGAGAGCGGAGACCAGATATTGTGCATGTAATGCGGATAGAATGATGGAATAGAGAGCGCCTTTGTTTGAGACTGCAATCTGATCTGCTTTCGAACGAGTCATTAAGAAGATCGTACTTTGGTTTACGGTATAGCTGCGATAGCTTTCATGAACGGGGACGGAGGATGACAAGAGGGAGGGTTAGCTCTTGCCCAGGTGTCTTCACTTTTACTATCCCTCTTTGGTTTAGCGCGGTCTTGGCGGGACACTGACGAACTCGTCATCGCCAACAATAACATTACTTCTTTACAGTTCTCAACGAACCCTCCTATACAGTCGTTCCATCCGTGGAGCAAAACTCGAAGACGAACAAGCTCCTGCTGCGCAACACCGCTATGCTAGTTGAGTATGTTACCTAGTCAGCATTCTCAGTGAGCGCGTGCTAACAGTCGAAGTAGCCGAGACAGCAGTGGCGGGAAGTCGTTTCTGAATCTTCCTGGAGGTAAACATTGTATCAAAGTTGTTTACCCACGGCGAGCTAACGCCAGATTTTAGAGCTCCGCAATGCCGTCTACAATCACTTCATCGACCTCGATCCTACAGTCGGCGAAGCTACCTCACTAGCGCATTCTGGCCAGCAGATTCGCGCTGAGTTTGGCTCGCTTTGTCTAGCATCCGGGCACGTCGAAATTCCTACGGAGCATGTCAAAAGCTTCCTACACGTCTTCTTCCCTCGCCACTTCGACTCCGAACCGGAAATCATGTTCTCCAACACCGACTTGTCCTTCGACTGGTTGAAATCGCAAGACTGGTTGACCGGCCTGCATAAATTGGTCACGATCATGCATCGATACTCTCTACTCAAGATCTCATGGTTCAAAGATATCACCACGATCATTTCCATATTGAAAAGCATGGACCCTCGAAAGTTCGAAAAGATATTATCAGTCGATTACCACATATGCTCATTTCCCACCAACAACCCGAATTGCTTCCTCCCACGCTCTGGCGCTTTCATTTGGGTCACAATAAGGGTTGCCGCCTCGGACTCAGATTCATTTAGGCCGGTATTCAGCCCCGAATACGGAGCAATTCATGTACAATTTGATTGGGAATGCGGATCGAGTAGTGAGGAAGAGACTTCAGACAGCTCAAGTGGTGACGAAGATGGCTCAGATAGTGAGGGAGAGAGTTCAGATGGTGGACATGATGACGAGGATGGGGATGAAGCTGCTCCAAAAAGCAGCGAAGGCGCTGTAGAAAGTGGTGGCTAGGAAGGAAGGTGGTCACTGAAATGAGAGTGAGATATGAGAAGATGAATCGGGGCGTACTAAGATCGTGGAAACATATTTACGTGCATAATGAGTTTACACGCCATGATTAGAATCAACCTGCATGACCAGCGTTGACAGTACTAAATATGCATTTGGGATATGCTTCGTGTTGTCGACGCAGTCCTCCCACGCTCCAGCTCTCCTTCTCGATGCAGGGCTCACACTTTCCCTCGCTCACCGTGGGATTGCTGGCGCGGTCTTGGCGCGGCAGTGCAAACAAACGCTCTTTCGCACACAACAGCTATTCCTACCTACCTTCGACCCATCTACAACCGCTCGGTCTCTGAAATCTAGCTCGCATCATCGCCGCGCGACATCACAATGACAAGCCAGTAAGTAGTGCAAAGAAGCTTTCCTTGATGAGCATGTACTGACGGCCATCTAGGTACAGCGCCGGCAGGCCTTGCGACAGAAAGAGCTTCCTCGACGCACCTGGAGGTAAACTAATTTACTGCGTCTTCTCTTGATATGCTCACTGACACAAGAACGGAATTACGCAATACCTTCTACCACCACTTCATTGATCTTAGCCCATCAACCAGCGATGCCGCCAGCCTCGCCTGCGTCAATCAGCAAGTCCACGCGGAGTTCACGACGCTGTATTTGAGCCGGAGATATCAAGGCACAACCGGGGTCCCATTCGAGCATCTTCCGTTCTTCCTACACTTCTTCTTCGTTCAGTACCCCGACGCGGCTACCAAGACTGTACTCTACAAGTTCAACGTGGGACTTGGAAATCCAGGGCCCAAAAGCATCGATGGCGATCGTGCTGCATGCTGGTCAGTGGATCTGCTCAAGGTCATGTCAGTAATGCGCAAACACCCTTTGATCGAAGTGGTCTGGGACCTGGGCGCGGGCATGGGTCGCTACTCTGCTGTGTCGTTCGATGACAAAGACATCGCCTACGCCGTTACCAACCTGAGATGTATGGGTGCCCAAAGCTTTGGCCAGTTGTCATCCGTCAGGCTCACTTTACGTGAATCGCCTTTGGATTTCCACATCTTCCGGCCATTCCGGGTCGGGACTACCCTCGCCCTGGACGCTAGGCTTTCGATCGAGTTGAAGAAGGGCGTGACAGAATTTTGTTTTGAGGATATCGATACCAATTGCGGAGGCATCGATGTAGAGTTTGAGCAGGAGAATAGTATGGACAGTGATGAGGAGAGTTCAGATGGCGAGGAAGACAATCCAGATGACGGTCACTACGACTCAGAGAGCGAAGATCAGATCCTTCCAGAATTAGGAGACTTGATTATATTTTGAGAGGGTTTGTTCGCAGATGTACGAGCAGATTGTAGACGTGACGGGACCGATTCTCTCGATGAAGTTAAAGACATGGAGATCTGGCAGCAGTAAGAGTCTACGACGCTGGTTTAGTCTGCCTATCAAGATGCAAACATGTAGATAACTAGTTCTGAAATATGGAACGAATTGTCCTCGTCGTCACTGCTATTTTTTTGTGCGAATGCAATAGCGCAGACGCCAACTTCGCCTGAAATAGGCGCAGTGGTTTCGACCATCTTTGTTCCTGTGATGATCACCAAAGTACAACTGGTATTACCGAGTAAAAGCAAAGCCAATCAGCAGTCTTCACTCGGGTGCGTATTTCTATGGATAACCCACTTCTTTTCTCTCACTTAATATTTTTAGCGCAGTCTTGGCAGAGGCTCAGATCTACGACTTGCCGCCTTGGTCGAGTTACTCACTTTGCTTACGACACTCACCAAATATTCCTGAGGAATACTTGCTCCATCAATACCTACCCATAAATTGAGCTACTATCTCATACTGTCACGATGACAACCGAGTAAGTTGTGCCCGAAAACCACTCCGCATAAGCCCATACTGATGAACGCAGCGACAAACAACACCACCGCGGCGGGAAGTCGCTCCTTGACCTGCCTGGAGGTAAGTGCCACCATCCTGCTTGTTCAACTGACGCAAGCTGAACACATGAGACAGAGTTACGTAACGCGATCTACAAACACTTCATCGACCTTAACACATGCGCGTGTGACACCAACGCCATTAACCTACTGTGGGTCAACCGGCAAATTCGCGCCGAGTTTAGATCGTTGTACTTCAGTCAGGGCAATGTAAAAGTTTACTTCAACGACGTCGCAAGCTTCCTACACGCCTTCATCCTCCCTCCTGCGAACTTGGTGTGTGAGGAGGTTGCTTGCAAGATCCGGGTGGAGCTCCGCGGCCGCAAAACAGACGACGTCGATTGGCAATCCAACCTGGTGGACGTCATTTCGATCATGCGACAGTATCCTCTGCTCAGTATCAAATGGAACTTGGTCCCGCCTGGCCACTCCGAGCCCCACAATGACTTAGGTCTCGCTGATTATGTGTGTGTCCTAAAGGATATGGAAGATCACGAGTTTGAGAAGATATCTTCCATCCGGCTTCTTCTTGATGATGAGCCACTGAATGGATACATCTACACCATTCTGACACGTGGATGTACAGAACAAGATACCGACGATATCCGGCTTAAGTTTGGGGGGCTTAGGTATCAACGCGGAGGTATAATGTTGCACTTGGACTAGCAGCCGTACGAAGCGCACACGATACCTCGGAAGCAAGGGAAGATGCGTGGAACAGCGGTGGGACAGCAGTTTGAAAGTACAATACAATGAGAGATCTCAAAGATCTAAAATATCGCACGGGTAATAGCCCATCTCATGCCATTTACCTGAAGATGCGAGATTTAAGTCAGTATTCTGAGTTCAAGAAGCTGTCTGTCTGGTCGTTTGTGTCTAGCGCGGTCTACGTTGCACAGCAGATCTTGGCGGAAGCTGAGACAAAACGACCTGTCGTCCACAACAATCCTGTTTGCTCCTAGATCTTTCCAGTCCACCTGAGAAGCTATCCTCCACTACTCTCAGGTGGAGAATTCAAGCTGCCACTGCACAGCACCATGATGACAACCCAGTATGTTGCAGCTAAACATCCTGCTTGATCAAGGAACAAACTGACGATGATGGCGGCAGGGAACATAGTGGCGGAGCGCCGTTCCTTGACAGGCTGTCTGGTGGTATGTGGTCCATGAACTGGTTTATCCAAATACGACCGACTAACACGTCACATCACAGAACTGCGCAACGCCGTCTACAAGTACTTCATCGCCCTCGACCCATCTCTTGACGAGAGTATCCAGTTCCTCCAAGTCAATCGGCAGATCCGCTCCGAATTCGGGTCACTATACCTGAGTCAGGGCAACGCTATAGTACCTCTTGACTGCCTCATACCCTTCCTGCGCGACACCTTCCAGCCTATCGCTAGCCAGAGACCAAAGGACTTCACTTGCAGCTTCCTTGTACAGCTCGACTGGAACGACCTCTGTTGGCACAGGAGCTTCTGGGACCTCGACCTCTTTGAAACTGTCGCATTCATGCGTGGATATCCTTTACTCGACATTCAGTGGGAGCTGGACCCTAATGCCCGCGATAGACGCTCTAATCGCTGTAACCGCTCTGCCTACTCCGGCCGCCGCGACCGCTCCGAGGTACCTGAAGAAGAAGGAACCGATGCCGAAGACCAAGACGAAGACCGAAACGAAGACCGAAACGAAGACGGAGACGAAGACGGAGACGAATCTGAGGAGGAAGACTCTGAGGAAGAAGAGATAGCGATTCCGAGTCATTCTGCTCGAGTCACTTTCAGTGTTGACGACATAGACATCGACGCACCCCTGTCAATACTCAGAAACCTGGAGGATGAGTTGTACGCGAAGTTGGCTGCTATTGATCTGTCTTTATCTGTCAGGCCACCTTTAGATGAGAGGTTCAGTGCCGGTCTAGTAGCCTATCTTGACATCGCTCTGATGGCGAACTGTACGGAACAAGACTTCGAAGATTTTGGACTTGGTATTGAATGCGGAGGTATCAAAGTGCGTTTTCATATTGCGCATGAGCCAGAAAGCGAATACAATGTCTCCGAGAGTGAGGAAGATGAGTAGGATCTCACTGTCGTAGAAGGGGGGCATGGGAGTAATAGTGCAAAGAATATCGTCGAGCAATGTACGAGTAATGACTTTTCAGATTCATGTGATGAGCTTGAGAATGTGAGGGATCAGCCCGCAGCTTAACGCCGGCTCGGTCGTCGATCCCTTAGGTCTAGCGTTGTCTTGGCGGGAGGCCGTATCTTGGACTGAGGTGCGAGCCTGTCTTGTTTACGACACCTCTTCGACGGCATCATACCGCCGAACATCAAAGCCAAGTCTCCTTTGGAAGGCCGAACGCGCCTTCGTCTCAATAGTTTGGCCTGAGTCAAAAGCTGGCTCCAGTTTGAGTCGAAGACGCACTCCGTTCGTCGTTGCGACAACAGCATGGCACTCAGGTATGTCAAAAGAGCCGTGTGACACTGCAGTGCCAGTCGATGAATGCTGAAATTCGAAGCAGCGCACACTACCGCCACAGAGCGAATTTCCTTGACCTACCCGGAGGTACGAGGTGGCCAAATCCCACGATTTACCTGCCCAGGGCTGATTTCAGGTTCTGAATATAGAGCTACGCAACGCCATCTACACCGAATTCCTCCATCTAACTCCAAAATGTGCTGACGCCATAAACCTTGTCAATTCTCATGAGCAAGTCCACGACGAGTTCGCGCCTATGTACCTGTCTCCGTCCATCAGGCTGCGGCTATACAGTCCCGTCGTCCCTTTCCGACAACTGAACAATTACCTGCACGTCTTCTTCATCAAGCGTCCATACGAAAGTCTACGAACGATCAACCGTTACATCATCATACGCCTCTGCAAATTCGGAACCGGTGAAGAGCGGAAGGTCGACCTTCTTCAATTGGTTCACGTTCAGAAGAAGTTCCCTTCATTCATAATGAATTTCTGCCCAGGGGGCTACAGGAGTTTTTTTCTCACGTCTGACATGATGAATGAGATAAAATCTGCAGTGTCGGTCCTGAAGAACATGGACGCGCGCCAAGTCGAAAGAGTGGTCTCCGCCGAGCTTGAGATCTTCATGCCAGATGAGAAACAGGAAGAGGCCAACATGCAAGAGGCAGTATTCGTCAATATTACTGGAAAACGTCGAGCTCAGGAGGTATCATGGAATAGTCGTTCGCGGCCCGGACGGCAGGAACACGTGGGTGATGATCTGACTGAACTTGGATTACCCGCCAACTACAAGCTCCTCAAGGTGCGAATCGCCTGGCAAGACTGATCCACGATTGCGGCGCGATGCGCTGGGACGCGCGGGAGTCTGTGGAGCCTTCGTCGCTGTATGGTACGTGCCCAACACTTACCCGTCTTGGCAAACAGCAAGCAGCCCTACCATTTTAAAAGCCTTGATAGTAAATTACTCTTCTCTTCCCTCGTCTTGCTCTTGTACCGCTTATACCCATGCGCTATGAGTGTCGATGCAATCGAGGGGTGACTGAGGTGCTTTCCCAGCTGTGGGATCTATAGCTGCAAGTACGCATATCCATGAACATATTAGTTACCTCAATATAAAATCGAACGACCGTGTACTGACAGCCAAGTTCTCGAACCCAAGTTCCGAGCTCGGCGATAATGCAAAGAGCTCACAGCGCGCCACGCATCACCGCTCCTCCGATCACACTGCATGCTGCACGCTGCAGGGAGACCATCTCACAACGCCGACACCAGCTATCGTGAACTAGCGGGTATTGATACCACAAAGCTAGTCCTGCGCCTGATGACCTTCTGGCAAGCTTCCGGTTCGTCCGTTGGTGATCAGAACACCCAGCTGATGGTCAAAGCGTGCCAGCGTACCTCGCCAATTCATGCCGCGACGAGCGAACGAGCACACCTGGGCATACTGTACCCCAAGACAGCGGCATACGTAAGAAAGAGGCTGAACACGAGAAGTCAGCTCCCAAAAACCCCTCTTTCTAGAAAGCATAACCGTGCACAACACCACGTGAGCACAGCTGATCTCAGCATCCCCCTCACCAGCATAATGCCCGCTCCCTTCGTACAACCCCCAATTCCCTCACCCTTACTCCCGCACATCACATCGGCGATGCAAACCTTCAAAGCGCCCAGACCATCTTCTCAGAAACGCACCCACGACAGAATGACGAAGGTGATTGCAGCGAGTGGATAAACAGCGAGAATGGGAAGCGAACAGCCAGCATTGTTGATTTAGGTCAAACGTCACAGGCACCGTGATGTGGGCCAATGGGCTTGCTAGCGCGTCCGGCCGCTAACCCCACAAACATGCAGGTGAGGGCCGTGCTAACCGGATGCGGGGCTAGGCACGTGGATTGTGGTTTTGGGGACCACGGGGTTGACGTCGGTCGGTCGGTCGGTCGCTATGGTTGCTGCGTTGGTTTGCTGGCGTGGCTTTTGGGATTATAAGAAGGGGTGTGTGTGCTCGTGGTTGTGTTGGTGAGCTGGTACTTGGGGCTTTTAGGCTTCTCAATCTCAAGTTCTCACAGTATTAAGGGTTTCGTTTGGTATCTCAGTAGCTTTGTTTGTTGTATCAATTCAACGTCATCCCTCTTAGGTCCCGCGGACCCTGAGTCTCGCGTGGTACTCACCGACCTTCCTTCCTGCAGTGCACGTGTGGGGCTGATCTTCCTTTCTTTACTGGGGCCACGGAGCTATTGTGCTTTCCCGGGTTCTGTAATTCTCTTGTCTTGTTGGGAAGGAAGTCATAAGAGGACTGTTAGCAAACCTCACACCTTCTCTGTTCAATTTCCACGTCTTCAATTACTTCCAGGACGACCATTCAACAACATCACCTGGGCACCCAACATGGTCGACCCACACAACCTCACCACCACAACCCTACACCCATCCTACGAACCAACCGTACCACCATCCCACCCAAGCATGTTCACAGAAACGCACCTCCACATGCTCATCGCAACGCTCGCCCTCCTCCTTCCCACCCTAACAGCCCTCTACATCCACAAAGACTACCGCGCCTTCCTCTCCCTCGGCCCCGGCGGCACCCCAGCAACACCCCTCGGCTACCTAAAAATCAAACTCCTCTCTCTAATCTGCCTGCGCGACCCCCTCCGCCCCATCGCCATCCCCCCACACTTCCGTCCGCAAAAAGGCTACTTCACCGCCTCCTCGCTGCCCACTCGCAAAGGCACGAAACCGCTCATCCGCGGTATCGCGCCGCAGAGGCAGCAGACGCAGAAGAGTGGGCAGGCGGTTTATGCGTGCTTGGTAGCCAAGATTAAGGGTCTTGCCCGGATTCCCGGGAATAGGTTGGTGGAACGTACGAGTTGCTTTGAGAAGCATAGTTCGGGGTTGTTTACCAGTGTGCCGATTACGAGGACGTGTGGAGGCGAGATATGTCATGCGCATCCGAGTGATGGGTCGATGCATATGACGTTGCATCCTGCGGATGCGAATCTGTTGATTAAGATGGGGTGGGGTGAGAGACATCCGCTTGCGAGGGGTGGGTGGTGTAGGAAGTTTGTGCCGAGGGAGTTTATGCTGGTGTATGCGCCGAGGGATGAGGCGGAGGTTGAGGTTGTGGCGAAGGTTATTGCGGCGGGGATCTGGTGGGTTAGTGGTGTTGATGTTAATGGGGATGCGGAGGGGCCGAGGAGGAAGAGTGCGGATGTTGCGGCTATTGGCGAGGAGATGGAGGGGAAGGAGTGCTGGGCTTGTAGGGTGAATGGGTGTGCAGGGAATCAGGTTGAGAAGATGACGAGCGAGGCGTGAGGAAAGGATTGGATAAGAAAAGAGTTATGGGAACAGATTGATTGGGATTCCTGGTTTTGCTCGTTTAAGCATGGCGTCTGGGCTTTTGGACATTCGGGACACAGGGTATGGGGCATCGAGATTGGGCATTCGGGCGATGTACGATAGGCATAACGGTGGTCGGAATGTGATCATCTTTCGTACCGGGTATGAGACGCTTCGTGACAATATGCATGCCCAAGCACACCACCGGCGCGCGTTACCAGTCGATCACGCCCATCCGCTGGACTTCTTCAACCCAAATCTCCCCCGCTGTCTTCAACCATCTACTGTTTCCCACCCTGCCTAACCCACTCCTCATACTCTTTCCTCTTCCCCTTAACATCCCAGAATCCCTTTCTCCCCTCTCCCTTCCCACCAATCCCGCCATTCAGCCCCAAAAACGCATACGGATCACCCTCACTCAAAACCTCCTCGCCCTCTTTAGTGTAGTAGCCCTCGCCGTGTCGTCCTTCCCGCGAAATCTGGCCCGCCCATTGTGCGTATTGTATTGGCTTCAGTGGCGCAAACGAAATGACAATGCCGAGGGAGAGGATGAGAATTGAGGTGAGCAGTTCGAGCGAGATGTCGAGGGGGAGGGGCGTGGAGGCGAAGGTTGCGGTGTGTTCGTGGGTTGAGTAGACGCTGGTGGGGGTTAGTTGGTGGGGGGGATTGTGTGGTTGTGCTCATGTGACCCTCTGTTTGAGAGGATGGGGATATGAGCTACGTGTACACATACGCGTGTGTGAGGAAGAGCGCGCCGATGCCGTTGAGGGCCGTCCCTAGGATGGCCATTGCGAGGTTTGGTGGACCGTGTGCGGCTTGTCGATTTTTCGAGAGTCTGACGTCGGCGATAACCGGCTGTAAGTTGGTATGTACAGGGTCTGGTGACCTATGTGTCGATGTAGCGCAGAAGGCGGGTGGGTTGGTGGAGGTCGGTGTTGGTGATGCGAAGCGACGAGCTTCACTTTTGCTTGGCGCCGACAGGTGATCCGCCCGCAGACCCTGAAGTCTGCATCATCACGACGTTCATCCTGTCAACTATCAACTGCTCCTTTTCAACGGCCCAAGTGTCCTTCAACAGTGTTAAAATCTAAACCGCAGTACATCATCTAGGCTACAGTCTCTAAACGGCACATATCTTTCTTCGTTGAGCGACATACGGCGTACAGACACTCATGCGCGCTGACGCCGACTGCAGCAGAGTCAGCAAGGATGCCAAGGCAACAGTCTACATAACTCCGCTATTGGATCCCTAACGGTTATCGCCTTTTATGTCCGCAGTAACAGCGTCCGGAGAAGAGCTCGGAGAACACGGTCTCCGCCCTAATGTGCGAGAATGCCGTTCGGGGCAGCATCGTACTGCGTCGGCTTTTTGTAGCCATGATGATATAAGATGTCTGGAAGAATAGACACTATCGTCATTGCTGTATACTTGCCTTTCAAGCATATTGCCTACCCTCCTCTACCTACGAACCCCAATCTCTAGTCCTATCGCGTTGTGCGTGCGTCCAGATACCAGCAATCCATCAAAACAACTCTCTAGTCCCACCACCGCAGTAATGACGACCTCACAACCCCACCCCCTAAACATCCTCATCACCGGCGCCGGCGTCTGCGGCCCCCTCCTCGCCCTCATCCTCCAACGCAGCAACCCCCTCCACACCATCACAATCCTAGAACGCTACCCCTCCCTCCGCACAGGCGGCCAGCAAATCGACCTAAAAGCGCACGGCATCCCCATCATGCAGAAACTGGGTCTCCTCGAAACACTCCGGCCCTACTGTGTCCACGAGAGCGGTCTGGAATTTGTTGACGGAAACGGCAAGAGCTTGATGCAGTTTGGTGTGACGGCTGCGGGGGAGAATCCGGGTAGGACGCTGACGAACGAGTTTGAGTTTATGAGGGGGGATTTTGTGAGGTTGGTGTATGAGATCAGTCGACAGGAGCGCGAAATGCTGGACGAACAAGGGTATGGTGGGAGTTTGAAGTATGTTTTTGGGACGACTGTTACTGCACTCTCACCGAATCCATCGACAAAGACAACGACAGTGACTTTCTCCACGGGCTCAACATCGACATTCGACCTCGTCATCGCCGCAGATGGCCAATCGTCACGGACCCGCCGCCTCGCCTTCGGTCAGGAAACCAGTGACGCGTCCTTCAAATCGCTCAACATACACGCTGCATACTACAACGTCCCGCGTCTGCCCTCAGAAAACAGTCTCGCGCGCATCTATTTCGGTCCGCAAAACCGCATGGTGATGACACGCACGGGCGATCGTCCCGTGACGCAAGTCTACCTCTTCCTCTTGAACAACCGTGAGGAGCGGGCGAGTCGCATGAGGGGTACGTATAAGAAGCCATTGAATGAGCAGAAGGCTGCTTGGACCGAGGAATATGGTGATGCTGGGTGGGAGTGTCCGCGGTTCCTGAAGGGGTTGGAGGATGTGAAGGATTTCTACGCTACGGAGATTGGTCAGGTTAGGATGCCCAGCGGGCAATTGTATAAAGACCGGGTTGTGTTACTCGGAGACGCGGGGTACTGTCCCTCTGCTTTTACGGGCATGGGTACAACACTGTCACTCATTGGCGCGTATGTCCTCGCTGGCGAGCTGGCGCGGTGTGGCAGTGATGTCGACGCGGCGCTGGAAGCGTATCAGAAGGAGATGAAGCAGCCGATTGAGGAGTGTCAGAAACTGGGGCCGTTGGTGGAGGAATGGAGGTTCTTCCCGGAGTCGGCATGGGGGATTTGGGTTGTGGGATGGGTGCTTTGGTCGATTTCGACGATGAGGGTGGATAAGGTGTTGGGGTGGCTTGCGGCGTGGCTGCCGGAGGGGAAGGAGAAGAGGTGGGAGTTGCCAGTGTATGAGGACTTAAACTTGAGCGCGCCGAAGATGGAGTGAGTAGAGTGGGTAGAAGATAGATGTTGATGCCGTGGCAGGTGTTGTAAGGTTGTGGTGGGCGGAGTTTGTACAGTATTGATGCACTGCGATCCGATGATACCATCCCAACTCATGGCCAGGGTAGCAAAAAGATAGCCCAACTGGCAAAAGAAAATGTCAAAAACATACAACAGCGGGGATTCGCTAGTGGTCACCCACCTAACTACTAATCCGCCGGTATCATGCTTGTATATGGCTGAGCGGACGGGAAGCCTAATTTTCATGATCCTATGGTCGTATGTGGAAGATACAGCTTTTACTAATATATATATTGTCAATGTGTCTTTGGAGCAGCCCATGGTCATGATGTAACATATTCGCCCCATCAGGATCTGCCCCATCTTTTTCAAAAAGCTGTTCCGAACGCGACACATAACGACTCACGTCCTCTTCTGCCCAGAAAGTCTCTTCCTCGCTCTTTGCCATCTTGACTCACCGCCTCCGCGATCAATCAAGCTGTCCATAACTTGATGCATGTCCTTTCTTCTTTCTTCAAATTGCGTACTCCAGATCCCAGGGTGGTCAAAACGCTTTAAAAACATTTCCCACTTCTTTGCATCCAGCGCACCTAGTAAGCGAGAAGCATGTAATAACTCCTCTTTCGATAGGGTTAGGCCCTTGTCACGAACGTAGCTTACGAGATTGAACAGCACAGCGAATTCTAGAAAGCTGCTGATGGTGCCTTTGAATTTCCGAGGCACGATGTCGTCGTATACAGTCGCGTATATCGTTGCGGTACGGCCGACTTCATCTAGGAACTTGACGGGGCAGATATTGAGCCGCTGTTCTAGTCGCAGTGCGTACTCGACGCAAGATAGGAAGTGAGAAGTCTTGGTACTACCGGTCCCGGCGACGGTCTTGAATAGACCTAGTTGACCGTTGGCCCAGTGCCATTCAGGATCGAAAGCATCATGCCCGGTGTTGTCGAGTATGGTGTTCCATATTCGTTGGGATCGGACAAAGTCTTTCGCAATGCGGTGTGTCCAGGTAACACGAGACGCTATAGGTGGTTAGCCATAACCTGATCTGTTGCGAAATCTCAACTTACTCTTCGATAGTCCAGAACTTGGACTTCCGCTTTGGCTTTCTGTCTCTAGAAAGCCTCTGCATCGGGAAACCAGTCGGCGATTCATCATTTCGAGACGCTCGAATATCTCATTGTCTGACAGCGGCCGGGCTTCATTCCTCAATGCCGCGTCATCGTTGTTACCGTCCGCAAACCATAACTCGAGCAGAAGAGGCCGTGGTTTTATCGTCATCAGACGAAGGAGTTGTGACGCGTGCTTGAGATGCTTCGTGTCCAGACGTCCGAGGAGTGTGATGAACAGTTGCTCTAGTCCAGATGGCATTGTCTCGAGCCGAGCAATGAGACTGCCTACGCGGGCTGTAGGTGCTAGATCATCTAGCAATAATTGCGCCACGATGTATGCCCAGAGAAAGACGCCGGCTGCCTTCTTAGCTATACCTTTGACCAGTTCAGTAGCGCGGATGGGATCCTTTTTGCTGAGCTTGACGTATACTTGCGACCTTACCAGGGAGGCCGTGACGTAGGTGTAGATATCCTGGCGATTCCAACGTTCAGGGCGTAGATTAGGATGGCCTGCCAATGCGCGGAGAAGCTCTGGCGATGACCGACTGGCAACGCAAACCTTCACATGTGGATATTTTGCTACATCTTTGATCAATTGAAGAATGTCCTTCAGGCCGCCTTCGAGTTCGTCTAGGCCATCGATTGCGAAGAAGAACGAAGTTGGTGTGCTAGGCGTGGAGATCATTGTCATGAAAGCCTGACGCAGCTCAAGCCATGTGAAAGGTTGTCGTCCTCCACCAGAAGCAAGGAATTGTTGCCAGCGATGACGAAAGACCTGGATCAGGATTTCCATGTCGCCTTTGAGCGCAGAGTGAAGCAAGGCTTGTAGAAGCCCCATACGCGACTTTTGCATGTCGTTGCCCGGACTAGACAAGAAGAAGCTCCCTTTGACGAGTTTTCTTCCTTTTGCCCAGGCGCGCAGGTGAGCGGTAGTGCAACGGTGACTAGACACGAACTTCATCAGCATGCTCTTCCCAGTACCCGGCTTCCCACTGATCCAATATGCATTGCTAGACCCTGTTGCTGCGAGCCACCGAGGAAAGGAGTCAAAGTCATCAGTGTTGGGCTGTTCGGGACTTGCATCAAATATCCATCGCGAGGTTCCTGGGTGCGCAATAGGAATCGCCTTGTACCGATCGTGCATGCCGGTGAAATGCAAGCGCGCCAACATCAAGCTGGCGAAACGGCCTTCCATATCATTGCTTACGACGGAGTTCTCAAATGTGTCTGAAAATGCCGAGACATCAACCGTCTCCGTAGTTTTCCAATCGTGATGCGCGATAGACTGGAGTAGAAGTACATCAGGTCCTGTATTGCCGTCCACCGGAAGCCGTCTTTTCTCCGAATGAACTGAATGCTGTCGAGTCGCATGCTGTCTATGATCTGGGTCAATGTGTGATCGCATTGGTGACATCTCACTGACCGGAGCGAGGCAAGCAGAGCGACATCTACTTGCTTGCGAATAGAGCCAAGTTTATCCGCAAGATCACATATCGTCTTCTGACTGTAGTACAAGCTCAGAACGCTGCGTAGTTCTTGTGCAAGTACTTTCTGCTGATCCACGTCATTGTCGCGCTTCGCTTGATCCAGTGTGGCCTGTAAGATCTTCGCCACTCCCCCAGCATCCTTCACCAATGCTATCAGTTGCGCATCTGCAATTTCCTGATCAGGGGATATGTGTGACTTGCAGTATACGCGTCGTGCCTTCTCAAGTTGTTGTGTTAAGTCGCCGAGATTAGCGATGGCGTCATCGAGCAGTGTAGCCTCTCCTAGGGTGGTGCCGGTGGATTTGTATACTTTGCCCATCTTGTCTTTTTGGACCACTTTCCTCGAAAATTCGACAAGTTGTATGACAGCTGAAGCCAGTGACACAGCCATCTGAGGCTCCATGGAAGTGCGAAGTGTTACAGAGGGACACTGTCTACACGATCAGACAGGATAGAGAGTGACGGCTAAGGCGGCAAGAGATTGTGTTCACGCGCTTCGCTAAGGCGTCTGGCATCCTTTAGCTCAGCCATGTTGGTGTAGTCGACCAGTCAGTAGGTGGGAAGGGCGTGATGATAATAAGGGCTTGCTTTCTGCTGCTACCCGGTGTCCCTCAAGCACATCTATACTCTTCTTAGTCATCGCAACGACGTGCAAGGATCTGATGGCGGGGCCATGGCCTGCTAAATATGGAAAATCGAGTCGAAAACTTTGACCAAGAAGGAAATAAGCTAGAAGACATGTGAAGAGCGATTAGGGTTTGGGGTGGAGAGCGGTGAAAGACCCGCAGCCGTGGTTCACGCTATGCGAACTCGTCTTTTCTAGCCTTGCGGACCGCCGAGGTGCACCGTGCGCCAGGTAAGCTTTCCCGACTGTCGCTGGTTGCACGTCACTCCACGACACACGACCATGGCGGAGTACTGGAAGTCAACAGTAAGTAAGACTAGGCCTGATAAGCGCGTCATACACTAACTAAGCTACAGCCTAAATACTGGTGCAAGTTCTGCTCCACGTTTGTGAAGGACACCAAATTCGAACGCGCGCAACACGAAGCGACCGGCCGCCACCAAGGCAACATCCAGCGCAGTCTCAAGGGGCTCCATCGCGAACAAGAGAACGAAAAGCGTAACCAGGCGCGCGCACAAGCAGAGGTCGCACGTCTAAATGGCCTCGTACCATCCGCATCCACGCCGTCCGTCGCAACCGGCGTAGGCGGCAAACCTACATACGAGAAAAAGCCACAGCAGAAGGCAACAGTGGATGACAGGAAACGACAATGGGAGCAGTTAGCAGCCATGGGCGTGGCGCTTCCTGCGGCCGCAAGAGGCGATATGGCGATAGCAGGTGAATGGAAGACGGTCAAAGAGGAAGTTGTGGGAGAAGTGACGGAGGATGGAGAGTTCAAGGCGACGTCGCTGAACAAAGGCGTACGGAAGAGACAACTTGACGAGGATGAAGAGGAGCGGGAGGCTGCTGGTGAGCTGATCACGAAACGAAAGGGCTGGGGACATACCTATAAGAGTTTCCCAGGCAGCAAGGGCGGCGACGACGATATCGAGAGTTTGCTTGGGAAAAAGAAGCCACAAGCCGAAGTGAAGAAGGAAGACCAAGAGGATAGAGTGAAAGCCGAAGTTGAAGAAGAAATCAGCACGAACACCCTTCAGGATATACCCACGGCCGAGGAAGCGGAGGCGAAGGCTGCTGAGACTGTTGTCAAAACGGAAGAGGATGCGCCGACTGCTCCGCCTGTGGTGTTCAAGAAGAGGAAGAAGGCGAAATGAACGGCATGACCAGCGATTACAGCCCGCAACAGCAGCACCCACCGCGCACGCTGCTACCGATCTCTTGCCGAAGCTCGCCTATCTCAGCTCCAACTTGGACTACAGTCGAGAGTGGAGTTTCGCACCAAGTCCGGGGAAACTTGGAATGAGTTTTGCTGTTGAGGATGGGCATGCGATGCAGCAGGATAGCATGATCATCCACAACAAGGGTACAAATGACTACCCGGATGAACAAGCTGATTAGGGGAGCGATGCATGTAGCTAGTCTAGTACTGTTTTTAGGTGTCTTTGTGAAGGGACAACCAATGGCGGAGCGGGGAGTGCAAGTAGCATTTGAGACTTCTCCAGGGCTGCCTCCCAGGGAATCAGAGAGACCAAGGTGAAGGAACATCAAGTTCACTATATTACCACAAACACATGCCATACTCTAAATACACTTGATGTTTGATTCCCTCTACCATGAGCCGCTCGTTTAGCATGCACTTTCCGATCGGCGCATGCACCTAAACCTTAAACCCCTGCCCAAACGTCTGCCAAGTAGCGTCAACCGCGAGATCGCGTCGCCAACACCAGACAACTGTCGCGCTGCACCACAACGTGCGCCTCAACCACCAACCCTCCACCACCGCACCCAGCACTCCCAATACTCCTTTCATGGTCGCGTAATAGCATGATTCAACTGCTAGCGACACACACGCGACCATGCATCTCATTAAACCACAGTGGTTAACTCATCCCGGTGGGTGCACCCGTGCATGCATGCCCTTTTCTGCTAGCATCTTACTGACATGCATTCCTACTAGGCGAACAGAAAGACTTTGAAGTATACAGCTGCCACGTTTCCCCTGATGGATCGCGCCTGGCCACGGCCGCCGGAGGTTCGTCAACCCACCCTCGATTCCCACGCGATGCGCTGCACCTCAGAATTACGCTAACACGCATCTATAGACGGCTATGTACGTGTCTGGTCTACCGAGGCCATTCTGAATTCCAACGACCCCTCGTATACGAAGCCGAAGCAGCTCGCGGCTGTCAGCAACCACTCCGGCACCATCCATGCGGTCCGCTTCTCTTCCAACGGCAAATACCTGGCGTCTGGCGCAGACGACAAGATAGTGTGTGTCTATGCGCTTGACAAGAATGCGCCGACGCATACAGCGTTTGGTGGGTATACGTTGGGCAGGTACAAGGGACGTAGGCTGATAGCATTACAGGATCCAACGAACCGCCGCCCGTCGAGAATTGGCGCGTCATTCGTCGCCTCATAGGACACGACAACGACGTACAAGATCTAGGCTGGTCATTCGACTCGTCAATATTGGTGTCGGTGGGGTTGGACTCGAAAGTGGTAGTCTGGTCTGGGCATTCGTTCGAAAAGCTGAAGACGCTATCAAACCACCAGAGTCACGTCAAGGGCATAACGTTTGACCCCGCCAACAAATACTTCGCTACGGCTAGCGATGACCGCACCATCAAAGTCTACCGATTCAACTCCCCGCCCCCGAACGCCTCGCAGCAAGACCAGGTCAACAACTTCGTCCTGGACCACACCATAACCGCACCCTTCCAAACCTCCCCGCTCACCACATACTTCCGCCGCTGCTCGTGGTCACCCGACGGCGCACATATTGCCGCTGCAAACGCCACAAACGGACCAGTCAGCTCCGTCGCTATTCTGGCGCGTGGAACGTGGGATGGAGATATCAGTCTGGTCGGCCACGAAGGGCCTGTCGAAGTAACCTCATTCTCTCCAAGGCTGTTTTACCGGGATGAGCCACGACCAGAGAAAGACGGAACCGTTAATCAGCAGACGGTAACTATTGTCGCTTGCGCCGGACAAGACAAATGCCTGAGTGTGTGGAATACGAGCTTCCCCAGGCCGTTCATGTGCTCGCAAGAATTGGCTAGCAAATCCATCTCCGACTTGGCATGGTCACCAAACGGAGAGACACTATACGCAACGAGCTTGGACGGCAGCATAATGACTCTTGTTTTCGAACCCGGAGAACTCGGCTACCCAGCGACATTTGCGGAAAACGAAAAGACACTCGCTAAGTTCGGTGCCGGAAGAAGAGTTGGTATCATTGAAGGCACAGACGCCTTACTTCTAGAAGAGAGCAGTAAGAGTGGGGAGCTGAAGGGTGTTCAAGGAAGGATGGGTGCACTGATGGGCGATGGAGGCGCCGTTCAACCACCGACTATCACGAACGGCACCAACGGCGTCACTCCCTCAACAACCCTTACCAATGGATCGGGCGCTGCAGCACCACCACAGGCCCCGGCTGAGCCACCCCCAGACGTGAGGGTTGAGAAACTCAAGCAAAGAGTGACTGTCACCAAGGATGGCAAGAAGCGTATAGCACCTATGCTCATGTCATCTTCGTCTGGTGTTGGCGAGTCCTCGTTGCCCCAAACACAGCTCCTTTCTGCGACGACAACGTCAGGCGGCAGGAGTGACAATCCCCACAACATTCTAGACCTTTCAAAGCCCTACGATGGTTTCCCGAGAGGCGGACTTGCATCCATGCTGATCGGGAACAAGCGGAAATTCGCCGAGATCGAAGGCGACGAGGACCGGCAAGTGGAGAAAAGACTGGCTGGTTCGGTGAAGCCTGGAGGCGCAGCAATCGTTATAAACAGTGAAAATGGTCTTGTCCCTCCCGCTGCTGCAGCTGCTAAGAACAACGAAATGACAGAGCCTCCAAAAGTCCTAAGACCGGCCATCGTCAACCCTTCCATGGCCCTCGCCCAAGTGCGATTAGCCGTGCCGAAAGTGAGAAGCGTTATCGTGCGGACTATGGACGGCAGCGAGCCACCGCAGAGTGGTGTCGACGCCAACACAGGCAAAGCGGAAATACCAGACACAGTCGTTCTAGAAGCACGCAATGCCAGCGGACCATCGCGGACAGGACGGCCACAAGACCACGACCCTACGCGCTTGACATGTACCAGCAAAGGACAGTCACTTTGGCAAGACTTCTTACCAAAGGCCGTGCTCTTGGTGACTGGCAACACAAACTTATTCGCAGCAGCATGCGAGGACGGATCGGTATACGCATGGACGCCAGCCGGCCGACGGACGCTCAACGCCATGGTTTTAGAAGCTCAACCAGTGATCATGGACTGCCGCGGCTGGTGGCTAATGTGCATAACAGCAGTCGGCATGTGCTACGTCTGGAATCTCAAGACGATGTCTGCGCCTCACCCACCCATCTCTCTAGCACCCATCCTAGATGTCGCAGCCTACGCCCAAGGACCCCACCTCACCCGATCTCCCGGCATTGTTTTCGCACGTCTCAACTCAGCAGGCCGCATCACAGTAGCCATGTCCAACGGCGAGGGCTACGCCTACAACCCCGACATGTACATCTGGCAGCGGATATCCGAGCCCTGGTGGGGCGTCACAAGTCAATACTGGAACTCCACCGATTCCTCCGTCGGCAACATCCGCTCTTCGAAAGACAAGAACGCCGCACCGAAAGAAAAAGACGACCAGGTCTCCATGGAAAATATCTCAGCAGGTATCATCCCCGCGCTCGAGCGCAACACAACAAACCAATCACTACTTCAAGGCCGCGCCTTCCACCTCCAGCGCCTCATCAAGATCCTCGTCTCTGCAGAAGGTTACGAGACTTTTGAAAGCTCAGCTAGCGTTGCTCATCTTGAGAACCGTGTCGCTGCTGCACGTACACTGGGTGCGAGGGAAGAGTTCAAGATCTACCTCACCATGTACGTCAAGCGTCTCGGTGCCGAAGGCCTCAAAGGCAAGATCGAGGAGCTCCTACGCAGTCTTATGGGTAGTCTGGTATCAGAAGAGGAAGAAGGCAACGACGAGCAAGACGAAGCAATGAAGGAGCCGGAAGAGATTTGTGGTTGGAAGAGGGAGGAGTTGCTCAAGGAGGCTGTGTTGATTCTAGGTAAGTTCCCCGTCCCTTCTACGACATGGCAAATCCAGTAGACTAACTTCTCACGCAGGAAAACACCGCGACCTCCAGCGTATAACAGTCCCATACGCCCGTCTTCTTGGTATCGTAGCGGAGGGTCAGCGTCAAGATGACCAAGCTATGATCACGGATATGTAGCTTTCTTCTCTCATTTGTTGATTCACTTCTTCTTTTGTACTAAAAGCATCACTATAGCGACACAAGGTGGCTTGAGGGTTAGGCAACACGTACGTAAGGCGTCCATTGGCGTTGCTGGGAAGAACGGGATCGCGTTTTTTACTTGGGAAAGGAGTGGCTATCACGTAATTGTAGAACATTCTTGGTGGCGAAACGGAAGGCTATCTGTCCGCGATTGCAGCTGCAGTTTTAAATGAAGGTAGTGAGGGTCGCTTGTCACAAGATATCGCAATGCATATTGAGCGTGCCAAAGATTTCGAAATAAAGATATTTGAATCTCACTCGCAGGGTATCTATCCAAAAGTCCACACAAACACACATCCAGAACGCCTCCCATCCCCCCCTCTCCCTATTTCCTAAACAAACTCGTCTGACTCCCCACCAGCGGATTAGGCTGAAACTCCATATCATTCCCGCCCCCGCCCGCAAAAAGCGGCACACTATCATCATCAACCCTACTCCTCGGCTTCATCTCCTCCCCCCTCGCAATCTCAATCGTACTAATCACCGGCAACGCCAACAACAGCAACGGTAACAACTGCCCAAAACTCCAGTTGCCCTCAGAGGGGCCCACAAGATGAACGGACTCGGGTGGATGACCGAAAGCCTGGGATTCGAGAACGACGCGTACGGTAGCGCCGACGCCCATGGCGAGACAGGCGAAGAGACCGACGACTTGCACCGTTTTGAGCCATTTGGGGTTGGACCGGTTGTGCAGGTACCATGTTGCGAAGCCGAATGTGATGACTTGGCCTGCGATGACGGCGATGGTGCCGGCGATGGAGAGTGCGGCGTTTCCGCTCCGGCCTTTGCTTTCTACTTCCCAGACACATGCAATCGGTAATCTGGGCTCCATGTCTTTCATAACGGTCTGCAGGATGAATACCCCAGAGAGGATGCCCAAAAACATGTTTACCAACATGAGGATCTGCCGGATCCAGCGTAGCACCCAGTCGCGCTTGAAGTCGTTGACGAGGGCGAGGAGGGTGGCGAGGTTTGTGGCGGTGGAGAGGAGGGAGAGGAGCCAGATGATGAAGAAGTGGTAGGGTACCATTGTTTTCATTTTTGCGAGGCCGACGGATTGGATGCCGATTCCGGTGAGGATCTGTTGGTCGGAGAAGGATTGCAACAGTTTGCGGCTGATGGGGGCGGAGGTGGATTTTCGGAGGCCGAGCAGGATTATGGTGGCGGAGAGGAGGATGGAGAGGATGTTGGTTATTATGAAGGAGAGGAGGGTCTGTGGGGGTTTGGTGTTAGTCGGGAGGAGAGGAGGAGGGAGAGGAGGGGGACGTACGCCTGCGCCTGCTACTCCTGCGTCGGTGTTTGTTGTCTCGGGGACGGTGGAACAGTTGAACGCCATGGTGGTGTCTTCGCTCTTCTCTGTTCGGGTGGTTGTGGTGGTGTCGAAGAAGTGTAAGCGCGTCAGGCCAGCATGCGCGGAGTCGTGATGTGGTGTCGCGAAGTCCAAATCGCAGTCGCAAAGTCGCAAATGCGCGCAACAACTAGAATGCCGTTAAAGAAAGAGTCGACCCGTATCGCGCAAGTTCACCAGGAAACCAACACAAGACCGAGAGCGAAAGTGAAAGTAACAGAAAGCAAGAACCTCAGCACAGCCTCACACAATGTCATCATACCCTACCAGGATCCCTCCCTCCATCGCATCTCCCATCTAATTTAAGGCATGTAGGCGAATCCGCCAAATCCGCCTTTCCCATAACCATCCACCAGCCCAGGGGTAAAAGGATCGACAGCGTGAAACAAGGCGGTAATGCCGGCCAATAGCCGATCTCTGCTGTGGCGTAAGCGCGCAACCTGCGACGTGTGCTGGGCCAGTTAGAGATGCGGGGTAGGATATTCCATGGATGGACGATGGTGGTGGGTTTATGCGTTGAGGGTGGGAAGAAAGTGGAGTTTGCAGGCGTTTTTAGGTGCGAGGGCGCTTGCGCAGGGGAGAGGCGGGCGTGCAGGAAGGGTCCGCCGGCGTGGTGCGTAGCGTGGAGGCGGATGTTGGCGGATCTCAACTTCATCGGCTCATTATTCAGTTCTTGATCTACACCTTTGCTCAGGGTCATGAATGTTTGTATAAATTGGCTATCGCTGAGTTGCATGCGGTGGTGCAAACTATCTAGCAGTGCTGATACATCCGTTGCGCATCTCGTCCATTTCACTCCTCCGAAGGCGCGGACGCCGGCTTACTCGTCGGCGCATACGCGCTCTTACCTCTGATCTTCGCACCTTGGAGGTAAAACCAAATTGGCACAGGTATCATCGCAGCAGCGAAACATCCAAGTAAAGTCGAAGCCCATTCAACGCCCATACCCTCGAACATCTCTTTCGCGAAGAGAGGAAACGCTGCCCCCCATATGCTACGAAGGAACGTGTTCGCTGCGATCGCCGAAGCGGCAAACTAGATGACATGTCAGCACAGACTTGGATATGTGGAGGCCCGGGTTCTTCTTACCATGAGATAAGCGTCGATGATATAGTTGAACGACTGCAAAAAGATACTCATGATACCGAATCCGATTAGCAATCCAGAGCACGTAGGCACGATCCAGTGGATGTCCGCGCGATATCCGGTCCATCCGAACCAGAATAAACCCCCCGCGAAAGCGACACCACCCACGATAACCTCGGGTAACCGCCACTCCGGAATGGGAACATTGTTGTTAGCAGCAAGCTTCTTCTGGTATCCCGGCTGCCTCGCAAAGATAAACACGCCAGCAAACAACTCCCCGATGATCATTCCAAAGAACGGCAGACCACCAACACCCGGGTTCATACCATGGACGCCCTGGAATACGATCGGGTATGCTGTGAGGAAGAGATACAGCAATCCGTAGATGAAGGCGATGTATATACTGAGCAGCAGCACAATACGCTCTGTGACCAGCATCCTAAGCGGCCTCGAAAAGTTCTTTTCGATCAACTCGCGGAAATCGACTTCAATCTCTTCTTGCTTAGCGTGAATGCCCCAGTTCTTTGTGCGGCGACGTAGTTCGGCGGCTTTGGCGACGAGGATGATGGGTGGGTAGGATTCGTCGAGGAAGAGGAGCATGAGGGTGAAGGAGGCGAAACCCATGAAAGAGCTGTGATGGCAGGGTTAGTATAGGTGTTTCTTGTGGTTTGTGGGGAAGAACGAGGAAGTGCTTACACAAGGTACTGAGTCCATCGCCAGGAATTCGACATGACTATGAAGCCGCCGATAAAAGGAGCGAGGAAGGGGCCTGTAAAGACCATTACGCTGAAGAGGCAGATTGCTATTCCACGCGTCCTGTTGGCGAACATGTCGGCGAAGACTGCGGCAACGATCTATGTCCATATCAGCACCTTTGTCCCATCTATCAAGCATTCGCACGAATACTCACGGTAATCGGACACGCGCCAAAGAACCCCGCGAAAAATCGACAGATCAAGATAGTCTGCAGATCCTTGGCCGTCGCACACGCAATGTTGAAGACCGAGAAGCCAAACGATGCCACCACAAGCGGCAATCTCCTCCCTTTCAGTTCTGAGAAAGGCGCCCAGAGAACCGGTCCCGTCGCAAAGCCTAGGATGTACAACGATGTACCCAGTGTAGCGACCACATAGCCGACGTTGAACTGTAGCTCGATTGCTCTCGTCGCGGTACTGAATATCGAACTAGCGAATGATGCTGTGACTGTCGTAAATCCCTAGACATACAGCACTTCGTGTTAGTCTACATCCATCAACTGAAAGCTGACGCGTCCTGTTTCCGGACGACCTAACGTACCAACATCAACGCAGTAAACAACTTCTTCCCCAACGCCCAATTCTGCGCATGCAACGGGTCATCCTCCCCATCGAACTCGACGACATAGTCTTCCTGGTTACCGAGAGGAGGAGGATACGGTTTTCCTGCGCCGAACGCTGGTAGAGGGCGAGAACGCGTAGACCTGCTGCGGAAGATACCGAGACCGCCACGGGCGCCGTCGCCGACTGTTTGTGAATGTTGGCTCTTCGACGTGTGAACGCGGTTCAATGAAGAGGCATCGTGGCGGAGGGCTTCGACGTCGGTCTGAGGATTTGTCTGGGATGGGGAGGTACGTGAGGTTGAGGTGGCCGCTGTGCTCGACGAAGATCCTGTACACAGTACACCACCGTCCTTCTCGTTGTCTCTCTCTAAAACCCCGGCCTGGACCTGTGCGAAGCTGTCTGGGCTAGCGTCTCGCTGTGCCATCTTCTGCGTGTACGGGTTCTTAGTCGTTCAAGATGACTACAACGAGTCCAGTGCAACAACGGATACTGCGACCCAATGCTATACATATTCCAGTCTTCGCACATGTTTAGCGGTCAGTATAGTATGTTGAACGTCCGTTCCTCCGCGCCGAACTCCACAACAATGTTGATCCCAGAGCGCGAGGCATCGGGGATATAAAAATGCACCGACGAAAGAGACATTGTTATTCGCTATAGCGGAACATGCGAGTCTTGCGAGTCATATGTAATGTTGCCAATGTTTCGTATAAATCCTATGCTACTTTATATCCTCGACTGTTGAGAATCCTACAGACTGATGGTGCTGATCGCGGCGTTTAGAGCGCGTTGTGTGGTCGGTGTTGATGAATGGTTAGCCATCATGGCGCCGTGGAACCCCCGAAGGCACGTCGACCATGACTAAGAAAGCAGCGAGCCAAGCCTTCTCTAATGCTTTGTATATAGGGGGCATGGTCCCGAGCCGGACTTTGTCCATCGATGTTATACAGTCAACGTAGCAGTCGCTGATTTGTAGGTTTGGCAGCCCACAATTCTCCGCATCGCGGCTGAAGTGCTAAGACGTGTCGTTGCACTGGCCCGCCTACCGTTACTACTTGACTTGGGCAGTACTTATATGAGCCGCGCACTCACAAGGCTTACCGTTACTACGCCCACGCCTCTATGTGATTCAACAAGTCACAAGTGCATGTAAGACAAGATATGTTGCTGTCCCACAGTGGGATGTGGTATCTCTACCATGTCGTGATTTTTGGTATTCGTCTAGCAACTGCTCATAAAGACGTGAAACCGTCCGTCATGATCATGCATAGTCTTCATCAAAAGGTCATAAAAAGGGCGCGCCAACAAGAAGCATCTACAACTTCTGCATGGCAACGATGTCGGTGGACTGGACGTGGTCCTCAAACTCTTCGATCTGTTGCTGGAGCTCGTCGAGCGAGACCTTGTCGTCCTCGACGACCAAGTTGATCTGGAGCTTCTTGATACCGAAACCGACAGCAACAAGCTGGGAGGCACCCCAGACGAGACCCTCCTTCTCGATGGAAAGAACGTTCGCCTTGAGCTCGTCCATGTTTGTCTCGTCATCTGAACAACGTTAGCATAAAAGCCCATTGGCAACTATGGGAAAACACATACCCCATGGCTTGACGTCCATAGTGACGATAGACTTGGCAGCAGGCTTGACCTTGCCGGCCTTCTTCTTGTTGTACTCGGCCAGACGCTCCTCTTTGATCCTGGCAGCCTCGGCGTCCTCCTCCTCGTCGTCGCTGCCGAACAGGTCGACCTCGTCGTCGTCGTCCTCAGCCTCCTTCTCAGGTGCCTTGGCGGGGTTGAGGGTGAGCTCGGAGGACTCGGGGCCGTAGGCGGTGAAGTCCTTGGTAGGGTCACCAGGAAGGGAGTCGAACTCGCCCTCGAAGGTGAGCATGTGGTTGTACCAGCGCCATGCGTATGGGTACTTCTCAGGCGCGGGGATCTGCTTGATTTGCTGGTAGACCTTTACATCGGCCTGCGATGGGGAGTAGCTGGGGCATGTTAGCCAATGACTCCTTCGTGATGTCTAGGCAAGATGTAGAAGGAGGGAAGATAGATCAGAGTTGCGACAAGCGCGTGGTTTTGTATTCAGATAGCGGGGTCTTAAGCCGCCTCATTAACACGGACCAATTGTTCTCATCATGAAAACTTGGGGGTGCGACGCAATGCAGGGAAGGTACAAAGCGGAGGGACATGTATGGCGGGGTAGGAACTTACCCAACAATGTAGCTGCGGGTCTTGACATAGTTGTTCAGGAGAGTCAGGCCTGCTTCGGAAACGAGATCGGTGAAACCCATAGTTGCAGATGTGAGTGCGAGTATGGTATGGGAGAATCGAAGGTGTTGTGTTGAGAGAAAGAGGGACGGCTGCAGTTTTTGATGGAGGCTGGAGGAAATTGCACTGAGAAAAACGCGCTAGCCTTGGCGCTAGCACGTGCCCCTCCCTGCCCGCGACAGTCACGAACACGAAGAGTCAACCAAGTCATACTCATGCCAATCTTTGTGCATCATCTAGATCTTGCACATAATACCCGCACGAACACATTCTCGTCTGCGCACTCGGCTTCCACCCGTATCGGTTGTGGATGCTGGAAGCCTGGAGTGTTTACTCATAGACGCGTAGAACTCTATCGAACCACCGCGCATCTTCGCCGAAGCCTGTGCTCCCGCCATCCATCACGAATATAATGATACCATCTCCATCTTCTCCAAACTGACTTTTGCTTGCTTTTTGACTCTGACATCGTCATGCTGACCAGTAGAGCACGCATAGCCGCGAGGCGCATCGCCTCCCCCTCGACCTCACGATCACTTCCCATCCGCACATCGCCGTCATGTCTCAACGCTTCCGCCATACGATTGCCTCAGCAGCAGAAACTCCTAAGACCACCTATATCGTCACGGAGCTATGCCACCAACGGAGGCCGACCACACCCTCCAGGGGGAACACATCGCATGAACCTGGGTGGCGAGCCGGAAAAGCCTGCGTTGGAACAGTATGGTGTGGATCTTACGGAACGAGCCCGTGATGGCAAGCTAGATCCTGTCATCGGACGAGATGGTGAAATCCAGCGTACCATACAGATTCTATCGCGACGAACGAAGAACAACCCCGTCCTGATCGGCTCCGCGGGAACAGGCAAGACTGCCATCCTGGAGGGCCTGGCCCAGCGTATTGTGAAAGGCGACGTGCCCGAGTCGATCAAAGACAAGCGTGTCATATCTCTTGACCTCGGGTCACTCATCGCCGGCGCAAAGTTCCGCGGTGATTTTGAAGAGCGCCTCAAAAGCGTCTTGAAGGAGGTCGAAGAAGCGAAGAAGGGTGTCATACTATTCGTGGATGAACTACACACGTTGCTGGGTCTGGGCAAGGCAGAGGGCAGCATCGATGCTAGCAACCTTCTGAAGCCCGCCCTCAGCCGTGGAGAGCTACAACTCTGTGGCGCAACAACACTCAACGAATACCGACAAATCGAGAAGGATGCGGCGCTTGCGAGACGATTCCAGCCAATTCTAGTTGGCGAGCCGACCGTACAAGACACAATCTCCATATTGCGCGGCATCAAGGAGCGATACGAGGTTCACCACGGAGTCCGCATTACTGATAACGCCCTAGTCGCCGCCGCTGCGTACAGCAACCGTTACATCACCGACCGTTTCCTTCCCGACAAGGCCATCGATTTGGTAGACGAAGCCGCGAGTGCCCTGCGCCTCCAGCAAGAGAGCAAACCCGACGCCATTCAAGAACTAGACCGTCAAATCATGACCATACAAATCGAGCTGGAATCGCTGCGGAAGGAGACAGACATTGCCAGCAAAGAGCGACGTGAACGCCTCGAGGAATCTCTGAAACAAAAGCAAGAGGAAGTCAAGGGCTTGACCGAGAAATGGGAGAAGGAGCGGGCTGAGCTTGACGAAATCAAGAACGCGCAGGAGAACCTTGAAAGGGCAAAGCTTGAGCTCGAACAAGCTCGCCGAGAGGGAAACTTTGCCAAAGCCGGTGAGCTGCAGTACAGCAGGATCCCTGAGTTGGAGCAGAAGCTCCCCAGAGACGAGGAGGTGACTGCAGGCGCCAACCGACAGGGCTCCTTGCTACACGACTCTGTGACTGCCGACGACATCGCGTCCGTGGTTTCACGCACGACCGGCATCCCGCTCTCCAAGCTCAACTCGGGCGAGAGTGAGAAGCTTATACACATGGAAGACACCCTACGGCAATACGTCAAGGGCCAAGACGAAGCATTGAAGTCCGTCGCAAACGCCATTCGTCTGCAGAGGGCTGGCTTGTCCGGCGAGAACCGACCCATCGCTTCTTTCATGATGTTGGGACCGACTGGTGTAGGAAAGACCGAAGTCTGCAAGAGGCTGGCGGAGTATCTGTTCAGCACTCCCCAGGCTGTCATTCGATTCGACATGAGCGAGTTCAGCGAGAAGCACACGGTTTCCCGCCTCATTGGTTCACCCGCAGGCTATGTTGGATACGAGGACGCTGGCCAGCTTACCGAAGCTGTCCGACGAAAGCCCTACGCGGTCCTCTTGTTCGATGAATGGGAGAAAGCTCACAAGGATATTTCGACGCTTCTTCTGCAGGTACTTGACGAAGGCTTCCTTACAGACGCCCAAGGACACAAGGTCGATTTCCGCAACACCATCATCGTCATGACATCGAACCTGGGTGCTGATATCATCGTTGGTGACGACGTGCTGGACTCGGCTGGAAAGGAATCTAGTGAAATCTCACCCGCAGTACGCAGCGCTGTGATGGATGTTGTGTCCGCCACATACCCACCGGAGTTCCTCAATCGTTTAGACGAATTCATCATCTTCCGCCGTCTGTCACGCGAAGCACTCAGAGATATTGTGGACATCCGTCTCAAGGAACTGCAGCAGCGACTTGACGACCGTAGGATCGTACTACAATGTCCAGACGAAGCCAAGCAGTGGCTATGCGATAGAGGATACGATCCAAAGTTCGGTGCTCGGCCGCTGAATAGGCTCATTGCACGTGAGATCGGCAATAGCCTGGCGGATAGAATCATCCGTGGAGAGATTCGCAGCGGAGACACGGCGAAGGTCGCCATCAACACGGACGGCACCGGTCTCACCGTTGCTGCCGCATGAAAAAGTATGACTAACGACGATATGACTGTATAACAGACTGTAAACTGTACTATTGTATGTACATCACGTAGCATCAACGGCGTTTGTAGGTAGGATATTTCCTCTCTGTAGATTGCACCAATGCATGAGAATCTCTTCTTTGATTCAGTGTCCCGAGGCAAGCACGCGTCGCGTAAGCTGCCATGCGCGACTTCCTCTTTCATCTCAACCCACACAGCTTGGTATTCTCTCACCTCACCGACACCCAGCCCCATCAAAGTCATCGTTCTCGATCCCCGCGATGGCGCGCAACTCTTCATACCGGAATCGGGGTAGTCGCAGCAGTGCTACCTCGCGCGGAAATCGCAGTAGTCAGAACCGCCGTACACCCACCTCCACTAGCAACTCACATGCATCGTCCACGCGCTCTGTTTCCAGTGTCCCTGCAGGGCCAAGCAGGCCGCGGGCAGAGGTTCATCGTGGAGCATTTCCGGATACATCAGTCAATACGCCTTCTGAGGGTCAGCATGGTGCCGACGGACACGACGACACATTGATCGAGGTCGTCATGGCCGTTGATATGACACCACGCGGTACAGTAGGATGTTGCTATTACGTCGCAAGAGATGAGAAGCTGTACTTCATGGAAGACATACAGTGCGGCGACGTCGACGTCATTGACTCCCGTGCGTTCCTCTCATCTCGATGCCTAGACCCCATGTTAACCACGGCGCAGTGAGAACATTTATCGAACCTACAGTGATCCTAGTATCAACAAAGATTGACGACAAAGTCATCGAACGGTTCGATCCAGAAGCCAGGAGCGACTGCGCAAGTAGCGACAACGACCAATTTCGCCTTCCATTTCTGCTGGAGGTGAGGCCGCCCAATGAGTTCTCTTACGATGCCGCAAAGAACAAGCTTGTCAGCCTTCGTTTGGGTGACGAGAATGGTACCCGTGTCAGTTTCAACATTCCAGGAGAGCTTGCATCAATGAACCACCTGGATGAAGAGGGAACGTTAGGCCAGCAAGGACAACTGCTCCGTCTAGCAGGATGGATTGACCTTGACAGCCGTTCAACGGTATTCTTACGCTTCCTGTGGGAAAAGCCGTCGCTAATATTGCACAGGTCGGCTGCGCTGGAGCACTTATATCGTATCTCCAACGCCGACGCGCTGCGGCATACCTGCCTGGCGATCGCTCAGCTTATCTCATGTTCCGTATCACAACACTGGAGATGTTCAGTCTTCGAGAGACGATGTTTATCAACGCGGATACGCTTCACTCGTTACAGATCATGGGTGCCGAATCGCATCCGCACTCGCACAACAAAGGGCCGACCAAAGCGAGCTCCGGCGAAAAGGAAGGGCTCTCCGTGTATGGGCTGTTTCATCATCTCGCTCGAACACCACAAGGAAGGTTCCTGCTTCGGCAACAGTTCCTTCGCCCTAGCCTCAATATTGATGCTATCAACGAAAGACTGAGCACGATAGCGGTCTTCGTCCGTCCAGACAACGATCCCGCTTTACAGGCACTTGTACAGAATCTCAAGAACATCAGCAACATGCGTGCCATGATGGTCAACCTGAGAAAGGGCGTGGGTGGCTCAACGAAAGCAGGCGGAGGATTTTCCAAAAGCATATGGACATCCATCAGAGCGGTACGTCTCGCAACCCCACCGTCGTACGTCATCAGGCTGATCGTGACAGTTCGCATTCCATGCTCTCAAGATCAAAGACACATTGCAGGATGTTCTCGGCGGTGAAACTCTAGCTATCAGGAACAAGGTACTTACAATTACTAGCCTGATAATCACCACAAGGCTATACCAGTAGCCTGTGGTGGTTCATAGGATCACGATGTTGACATTTGCAGGTCTTCGAGAAATTCGAAGGTTACCATTTAGCTCAGATCGGAAGAAAGATCAGTGAGACCATCGACTTGGCCAATTCGGCAGAAGAAGGTCGGACTGTCATCATGCCCGGCGTTGACGACGAGCTGGATCAGATGAAAAGGACTCTGGACAGTCTTGACGACTTCCTCAACCGAGTAGCGCGGAAGTTGTCTGAGAAGATGCCCTCTGACATTCGTACGTCGATACGCTCTCAATGCTGAACATTGCGACTCCAAAGTTATACCACGTCAAACACTGACCAGACTAGGTGCCACGCTGAACGTCATCTACTTCCCGCAGATCGGATTTCTCTGCACCACTCCCGTTAATGAATTGAGTGGAGACGCCGTCTATCAGGGCACCTTCGACAGTCCTTGGGAGAGAATGTTTGCTACTGAAGAGCAGGTCTACTTCAAGAACAGCGAAACTCGTGAGATGGATGATCACTTCGGTGACGTGTACGGCATCATCTCGGATCGCGAGATTGAGATCAGCCATGAGCTTGCACAGTATCTGTTGCAATATGAAGAGCTGCTGACATCTTGTTCGGACGTATGCGGAGAGCTTGATAGCCTGCTTGCATTAGCACAAGGTGCGAAGATTTACAAGCTGTGTCGCCCCCGGATAACCCATGACAATGTCATACGTATCAAGGGTGGCCGGTGAGTCTACTGATCGTGGAGGCGGCATGCAGCCACTGACTTCAGTCTAGCCATATCCTGCAAGAGCTCACAGTATCATCCTTCGTCGCGAACGATACGACTCTAATAGGCGGGGAGGGCGATAGAGCTTCGGAGGAAGACGCCGATGATAGCTATGGTACCGGTACCCAACCGATTACGAGCTCAGCGAGTCGCCATACCTACGCGCACAAGGATAGCGCAAGCATGCTTGTATTGACAGGGCCCAACTACTCAGGCAAAAGCGTGTACCTGAAGCAGGTCGCGCTCATCGTATACATGGCCCATGTTGGATGTTTCGTCCCAGCAGATAGCGCAAAGATTGGGTTGACGGACAAGATTCTTTCCAGGGTCACGACGCGCGAGACGGTGTCTCGTGTTCAAAGCGCTTTCATGATAGACCTTCAGCAGATCTCACTCGCGCTGAGTTTGGCGACGCGTCGCAGCTTGCTCATCATCGATGAGTTCGGCAAGGGGACAGAGTCCAGCGATGGTGCTGGTCTGGCATGCGCAGTCATGGAGTATCTGTTGAGTCTGGGCTCGGAGCGACCAAAAGTCATTGGCGCTACGCATTTCCATGGTATGTGAGCTTCATGTATGCATGAATCAGCTGCTAACACTACCAGAAATCTTCGAGATGAACCTACTCAAGCCAAGGCCTGCTCTTGCGTTCGGCCACATGGAAGTGCGCATCGATGCCGAAGCGTCGGAAGTCAACGAGCAGATAACCTATCTCTACAAGTGAGTTCACTAAGATGCTAAGAGATGAAACATACTGACAGCATTCAGTTTTCGCGAAGGTCGAAGTACCTCAAGCTTCGGTACATGGTGAGCTGGGAGCTCTCGCTATTGCTAGCAACTATTAACACTAAAACAGCTGTGCCGCCATGAACGGTGTACCTCCCGAGATCATCCAGCGCGCAGAAAATCTCATCCTCCTTTCCGTCCGCGGCGAAGACCTGGTAGCTGCATGTTGCCAGATGCCGGAAGATGAAGCTGCGGAACTCGAAGAAGCGGTACGTACTTGCGAGTGGTTGTAAGGGTCAACTGACACCGGAACAGGAGCAGATCGCGAGATACTTCCTCGAGGCCGACGTCTACCAAGACCCGAAGAACACCTTGGCGGATATTCTGACTGTATCCACGACCACAGATTCGCGCAATTAGTAGTGGTGGAGCTGATCTGTCTGTGGGGCATGTGGGGCACGTACAAGACTGTGTTATGGAATGCGTGGAGAACAACGGCTCGTGTGAACTCAATGCTTTACTATATCATACACAATGTATTAAGATAGCCGAATCATGGGCGAATTGATCATTCCATCATGCCGCATACCGAAAGACTACCAAGATCACCACGCCAACCATTGCAAATGCACATCCAACCAAGAAACCCATCGCTCCGATCCAACTAACCATGATACCCCAGGTAACCCCCAAACGCCAGCGCCATCATCCAAACGAACAAAATAAACGATCAACCCTAGACACGGCCGACGCCCTCAACCCAAACTCAGAACTCCACCGTCCATCCCCGCGCCATCCCTGGTGCGCCGATTAACATTACCACATCCATTCAACATCCATCTACCGCCTGACCTCAAAATCGCGAAACGTAACCTTCTGATCCGTAACATCACTCCCACTATCACAGCCATCCCTCGGACTAACACTCGGCGTCGCATTCCCATCCGTCAGCGCAAAAATACCCATAACCGTGCCCGTGAAATCCCTCGCACTCAACATCCTCGTATCCACGACATCAACCTGATTCCACCGCCTATCTCTTTCCGGGTCGCGGAACTCGAGTGCATACCGCTCTTCTGCGGCTATAATGCGGAGGTCGACGGCCGTGGAAGAGCGGGAAACGGGTTCGGGGTAGGAGGCTGTGTACTCGTAGTCTTTGGATGCGTCGACGAAGTGGACGTGAATGAGGCGGGTGGAGAGGCAAACGGAGATGCTGGCGTGGCGGAGGGGGTCTTTGTAGATGGTCAGGCCGCCGATGGCGTTGGAGTGGGTGGCTTCGTTGTCGAGGAGGACGGTGGCTGTTGCGATGGTTGTTATGCTTCGTTGGCGGCGGGCGAGTAGGGCTAGGGGTGCTGATGCGGCGGAGAGGCTCGAAGTGGTGGGTGTAAGCGTTATTGAGGAAGCTTTCTTGTACGGCCGTCGCAAGGGCTTGTGCAGGTATACGTCGTCGATGTGAGGCTTCAGTTGACGGACGTTCTTGAGCAATTGTGCAGCGGCGAAACCCATCTGCACTGTGCGCGGTGTGCTGAACGACATTTGTGGCTGCTCTATCGTGGGCCATTCATCCTGCGGCCACTCGACTGTTGTGAGAAAGGTCTCGCGACCCATCGGTGCTGACTCCTGGTCTCCTCGTACTCCTAAAACTGCTGCCCACCATTCCCCATTCACGTCTTGGAAGATCTCACCGTGACCGATATTTTGCACATACTCGTTCGTGCCATCTGCTGTCAGTACAGGATTGTGCGGACATTGCTCATACGGGCCCCATATGTCTTTTGAGCGTGCTATTGATAGCATATGGTGTGCGAACGTTCTGCCTTGTGCTACAAGTAAGTAGTACCAGCCATCTTTCTTGTAGATGTGCGGCCCTTCGGCGTCGCCATCTGGAAAGGCACCCAAGATTTCTCGGGTCTCAGATAAGGGTTGTCCGGTATTCACATCGATCTCAAATTGCTTGATCGTGCAAGTAGGCTCCCTTATGCGGTTCATCATCCATGAGCCTTGAATGTAGGCGCGATTATCGTCATCGAAATAGAGAGAAGGGTAAATGCCGGAGAACTCAAAGGGTATCGCATCGCTCCAAACATCGGACCAGATGTCTCTTGTATGAATTAAGAAATTGTCTGTTCGCCAGTTGTTGCTTTCGGGATAGCAGTTGGTACAGACAATGTAGAAGGTGCCGTTGTGATGACGAATTGTGGGTGCGAATAGGCCTCCGGATGCTACCATGACATTGCCGTCCTCAAGCGGCATCGCCGCTGTAACAGCATTGCTCAGGTCGAGTTGTGAGGATCTATTGATTGCGTTTCCTAGAACGCTTCAGCCGATGCTCACATCTTTGCAGTATGCGCACAGAAACGAACCAATGTGTTTCCAGTCTTGCAAATTTGTTGATGCATATATCGGAATACCTGGGAACAGATGAAAAGAAGAAGTTGCGAGATAGTAGATTCCGTTCACAAGGACGACAGTTGGATCAGGAGCGAAGCCAGGTATGATGGGATTCCGGAACATGCTTCAGGCTTTCAGTGTGCACAGTGAGACAGCGAGACAGCGATCGAGAGGTTTGCAAAGTTCGGAGGATGACGCGACGTGGACTGAGTCGCGTCGAGCGGTTCCGATCGGAGAGAATTACCAATTGCGGGCTTGATAGCAAAGTGGATTCGGTGTTCGGTGTCGGGTTGGATTGCTACTGCCTTAAGTTGGAATCCCACTCTGTCGTGCTGTATTACTCCATGGAGAAATCTGCGTCCCGTGTTTTGCGCCTCCGTTTCACCACGGAGAAATATGGAGCGCTATACCAGAAGCGTAACGGAGTCGCTCGTTCCACCGCCCATTCGGCTGTAATCCGCGAGCCACAATCCCCGGCAGTTGACAAATCGTGAGTAGCGCGTATGCATGATTCGGGGGTCGCCATTTCGCCGTGGAGGAATTCCACGCTACCTCGAACGCTGCTGCGAGTGCAGACGAGTAGGTGGCTCCGCGACGCGAGTATAAGTATCGCGACTGCAACGACGTTTTCATGTAATTCTAGCGCATCATTCAGGTTGCGCGCGATTTTTTTTTCTGGCTTTTCGTTACCATACTGATGATGCCTAATATTGGAAGGGTCGGATGAGGAGACTGCCCACGACAAAAACGCACCAATACGGACCAGGGATCACAAACGTTATCGTGAAAGCCTAGGTCTTCGCGATCTTGGGCAGCGAAAGTGAACGTTGGCTTGGTTGATGTTTCGTCGGGTTTCTCTCGGATCAGTGGGTCGACTATTTCGGAACGGATGTTTTCTCATCTTCCCGCTTCCGATCAACTATGGTTTCGAGCTTGCTTTGGTCGGCAGCATCATCCCTATTCCCGCATCCTTAGATCATTCGAATCGAACGACAGCTAACGGCGCCGTTGAGACAAGCGCATGCGATCGGTAAGTACCGAATGCTGCGACAAGTGTCGGTATCTTGATGGCTGCATTTGACGATGACTGTATCGCAGAGAAGATCGGTCGTCACAAGGTAGCCATTCTTGGTCGTTTGCATTGTATTGCTGGAATCTTCGTCCAGAGTTTCGACAACTATAGTGTGCTGCTTTCATGCGAAAAGCTCATCGGCGCACTGGATACGGCTTTGAAGAGTCGCTCGCTTCCGTACGTGTCGCGGAAATCATATCCGACAATCTGCGGGGTATGTGTTTGACTTGGTGGTGGATTAATTGGCCTTGTTTCGTAGTTTGGGCGACAACACTACTCCTGCTAGGATGCCATGATCGTTGCCGGCCAATGGTCTTGCGTACACGCCGGCTGTGGTGAATCATACATGAGAAGCGACTGGGGATGTCGCGTGCCCGCCCTTGCTCAACTACCACTCCCCGTGCTGATGGCCACCATAGGCACGTTGCACCTTCCCGAGTCTCATGTATAGCTGATTTTCCACGGATAGCATGCGAAAGCCATGATGTCTCTGTGTAAGTTCAACGGGCGGAATTGCGAATTTGTACCATTGCACAGGGAGTGGCAGTACAAGAGGAGGGCGTAATGCGATCCGAGGGTGCATCGTATATCGAACGCTTCAAAAGCGTGAATTTGCGCTGTACACTGATAGTACGTCTTGAGTACATTGTCAAGTAGTCTAGAAGCCGCGATTATAGTCGAGCTCCTCGGAGACGCGAGAATCCAGTCTCGATAGCACATCTAAGAGGGTGAGGAACAACGACTTCGCACGTTCCTTCAGGGATGTGTTATCGGTCTCTTGTACAATGCTGAGTAGAGTTGCTCCCATTCGTCGAATCATTTGCACCTGCGATGCTGTCAGTGATACTGCATGGATGAAGATGAAGTAAACCTACGCAAGGCTCTCCATTCACTTGAAGGGACTCGAAGGATGCTTCTGATAGTATGCGGACCATGTCACTAGCGACATCGATCTTTCTCAACGCAATCCCGTATGCCCGGCCAGGAACGCCTAGGTGCTCAGCTACTCCGCCATCGTAGAATCTCTGGAGCAGCACTAGCTTCAGACAGTAGTAGGTGACGCATAGATTTACTCTTTGAATATCAAAGGCCCGTTGAATCCTGGCCATGGTTGCTGGATCAGATGTATTCGTGGTGTCCGGCACCTTGACATCAAATCGGAAGTGATCGATCATGCCGATGAACTCAAGGTAGTCGGTGATGACTATCGTGTGTTGAGGGCCAACCAACGCAGAGCCATCCGTAATGCCTTCGTTCCAAACATCAAGAGTGTCGAACTTGATGATTATGTCGGATGCTTTCGTCCATAGGTCTTGGCAAAGATCAAATCCCTGGCTGACCATGCTCTCTATATCGAGAGCGTTTGGAGTGGTCGAGTAGTCCAGCAAAGGCGCGTCAGATGACGGACGACGCCAGTAAGATGTGGTGATTTTAGCTCCTACACAAAGGCGATGAAGCGATATTGGACGACTGATCAGGATGGATGCGGACCTGTCGACAGCATGAATCTGCCAGAAGATGTTCTTCAACAGATGTTCCTCCACTGGGTCAAGATTCTCGAATGAAGATTCTTCGTAGAGCCGCATTTCTTGTGTCAGGCGTATGGCTTCCCCTAGTACGTGCCAGCCTAACCTCGTCTTTCCAATAGCACGCAAGGCGTTGGCATGGTAGAATCTCGTCACCAGAGCGGTATAGTCGGGCTGCTCGATATCTTCAAGATTTATGTCAAGTCAGCCAAAGTATTCCTTCAGAACGTTGAGAACGTTTCACAAACCGTAATCTTGATGTAGCTTCAGCGTCTCCCGTGAGGCTGTAAGGAATTGACGTCCAATCTCTTCCCGCATCGGGAAAACGGACGCAGGTAGCATGATAGCCGTGCACGCACAAATTGCTGTCAGGAGTGTGCGGTTACGTGATGACACAATATCTCCAGAATCGAGACCTGGTGATTGCGATG